GATCCTCCGCACAGTTGGCGAGGCATACGTCAATGCTGAAGAAAAGCTCACCAAGTACATGTCAGATGGGCAGCCAGCCATAGAGTTTCTCCAGGAGGTCAGGGTGTTTGATCCTCGTCACATCGCATTCCTAGATGACTCTGTAGAAAGCTACAAGGCCATTCCAGGTTTCACTCACGTGCCAAGACATGAATTTGATTCTTATTTCACAGCCCTCAGAGCTGCACTGTCTGGCGTGGTGGATTTGGATGTGTTCTGGGATGGTGTACAGGAGAGACTTCCTGTACTGTCTTCCTTGGCCCACCGATACAAAGATGCTGTCTCCAACTCAGCCGATGCTGAACGAAGCAACAGCATCTACAAGCTGGTGTTGTCCAGCCGAAGGAGATCAACGACCAACCAAAACCTCAAAGCCTTGGTCTTCTTATGCCATAACCAACGGATCCTCAGTGGAGCGTTTGAGAGGGACGAGAAGGAGAAGGGAAAGGTGATAGAGGGGGAGGATTTGGAGGAGTGGGAGGACATGGATATTGAGGGAGAGGGGATGGAGGATGATGAATGATTGGACAGTGACACAGACTATGCAGTCGACTAAAAAGTTGACTAAACTCTTAAAATTGCTTGGAACCGCTTGACACATCTTTTTTAAGTTTTAGCAAAGTAACACATTCTTGAGTAGAGGAAAACTAAAAAAAGTACATTTCACCAACTAAAAAAATGCAAAAGTTGACTAAACTCTTAAAATTGCTTGGAATCACTTGACACATATTTTTTAAGTTTTACCAAAGCAACAGTTTTTACAGTGTAGTGCGACAGTGAAGCGGAGGGAGAGGCGCCGGCACGGGGGTCCCGTAGCTGCAGCGCCCTCCACCTCTACGGCCCACCCCGTGGCACCGGCATACCGGCAATCACGGGGAAGGGCTGCCCGACAGAGGCAGGCTCCGCAACAGCAGAGCACCCGGGTGGGGAGCTCCATCTTCGCGGAGTTAACTGCCTATTTAATGTCCAGATCTCTGTCAAAACTTTTAAAATAAAGATGGTGTTCAAGACTGTATCCAAGTCTGAGTGTCCTTTGTTTCCACAATACACTTGCACATGTTGATGACTGTACAAATTCCCCACTCACCGCCCCAGCTATAGCTCCCGTTAGGGAGTAGGCTAGTGGGAGTGCGCAGATGAGAGTGATAAACCGCAGGCAGCACTGTTATAGTGCGGTGCGGGTACAGGGACATTATGGCCGACGTTTTTCTGTTAGAAAACATTCTATGCCTGAAGCTAAGACTCCAAATAATGCTGTTTACTATAGTGATAGGGGCTGCATTATAGCAACGCCCGCACTTGTAAAGAGGCGCGTGGCGGTGCGTTCAGGGGCCTTAGTAAAACACACTACGCCTGTAAGAACTCCGGTTAATGCTGTTTTCCATAGTGAGGAAAATAGCATTATGACGACGCGCGGCCCCCCCCCGAGAGCGGGCGTTCATGGACAGAAGAAGCTCCGATTAATGCCTCTTTCTCTCTAAGAGGAAACAACATTATGGCGGAGCGCGCGCTCTCACGGGAGCGTGCCGTGGTGCGTTCAGGGACCTCAGTGGAAAATCTGCCGTTTTTTTCTCTGAGTGGAAACTGCATTATAGAAAAACGGCCCTTTTCCGTGCCAGCCCCCCATGGGTCAAACTTCCTTTTATGGAGGGTTTGACGGCGGAGTGGGCCACCAGAGAGTACCACAGCTTCATAGCTGCGGCCCCACAGCTGAGGGCTTGCCCATTAACACAATGTTATGGGGAATGGAAACTCAGCTGTGTACTGACAAGGTGGATGGACAGGACGCTGAAACGGGGCTATTCACTCCAGTTTTGCAGCATCCCACCTCCTTTTATGGGCATGCGAGAGGTAAATCTGTCTTCCCAGGAGGAGATGGGTTTCCTCTCAGCAGAGATTTAGGCTCTGGTGCAGAAACAGGCTGTGTCTGTTGTGCATCCTCAGCACAGAGAGAAGGGTCTTTATTCCATGTATTTCCTGGTTCTCAAGAAAACAGGGGAATTCAGACCTATTCTAGATCTCCGGGGCCTGAATCGTCATATTTCCAGCAGGAAATTCCGCATGTTAACTGTGAAACAGTTACTAGGGCTTGTGCAACCAGGCGATTGGTTCACCACCATCGACCTGAAAGACGCGTACTTTCATGTGGAAATTGTTCCAGAGCACAGAAAGTATCTGCGTTTTGCCTTCCAGGGAATAGCCTACGAATACAACAGGCTGCCGTTCGGTTATTCCCTATCCCCACGCACATTCAGCAAATGTGTGGCCACAGCGCCTCAACCGCTGCGCGCACACGGCATGAGAGTTTTCTTTTACATAGACGACCTCATAGTCATGGCTGGGTCCCGGGAACAGGCAATGTTTTGCACAGCACAATTGATCACACACCTAACCAAATTAGGTTTTGCGATCGATGGGAAAGAAAGAGCACCCCCATACCTCGCCAACAGGCGTTGTATTTGGGTGTGGTGCTCGATGCAGACGCGCTGCGTGCCACCCTGTCAGAGAGCAGACATGCGCCCCGTCTCAGGGCGGTGCACAGGCTGCGACAGGGGGCAACAGTGACAGCTTTAACTGTCATGCAGACTCTGGGTCTCATGGCGGCTGCTCACATGGTGGTCCCGCCGGTTACTACATATGCGCCGCCTGCAGAGGTGGTTCCCCAGCCTGCGTTTGGAGGCACAAACGACGGCTGGTGACCATCCCTTCCCCCCTCAGTGGGGGCAACCTCCGGTTTTGGGGGTCTCCGGACCACCTCCGGAGGGGGTCTCCACTGGGACGGGTGACCTCCTACATCACAGTGTTCACGGACGCGTCCGGAACAGGATGGGGAGGGACCTGCCTGAAGAGGGCTATAGGTGGGCGCTGGGCTCTGACAGAGTTTCGACACAGCAACCTCCTAGAGCTACGGGCAGTAGTGTTAGTCCTCCGGCATTTCATGCCCCTAATTCAGGGGAGACATGTAATGGTCACGTGCGACAACAGCACCACAGTGGCTTATATCAACAGGCAGGGCGGAGTCCGCTCCGCCACCTTGTTGGCCACAGCGGAGGAGCTGTGGTGATGGGCCTCAGAGGTGGTGTTATCTCTGAGAGCCCTCCATGTCCCGGGACTGGAGAACAGAGGGGCCGACCTCAGGTCAAGGGGCGGCCCCCTGCCAGGTGAGTGCTTCACCCGGAGGTGGTGAAGCAGATCTGGGCCCAGTTCGGGAGAGCAGAAGTGGACCTGTTCGCCAGCCGGCGCAACAGCCACTGTGCCCTGTGGTTCTCCATGGCCCTGAGCAACGACCCGCCCTTGGGGGTGGACGCGTTTGCACACGAGCCATGGCCAAGGAAGCTGCTATACGCCTTTCCATCGCTGCGTCTCATTCTCCCTCTCCTGGGGAGAGTGAGGCGAGAACGTCTGGCAGTCATTCTGGTAGCACCGAATCGCGTCGGGGCTCCGTGGTACTCAGAAATGACAAGGCACTGTTTTTTGAGCACACTTTCTGCAAGGTAAGCGCAGCAGGGTGTGCTCTGTCAGCCGCAGCCCAGATTTCTCCTCGGTCACAACCGGGTTAAGGGAGGGTGTGGGGCAGCAGCTGCTGACCAGAAAAGCCGGTCAGGGGCAGAATGGTGTTGGACGACAGTGCGCGTATACATCAGGGCTCCACCCACTGTACCCATAGAGTCCAGTAGAGGGCGGAGCCTGTGAGAGATATAACGGGGGGTTACGTATTGTAACCCTAGTTATATAAACACAGGCGGAGCCCTCTACTCAGGGCACTGTCTGTCCTATTCCGCTCGCTGAAGAGAGGTATAGGATGATAGTCAGGAGGCGAGTCCTCCTTTCATACGGTGTGATGCGCACGCATTCAGGTAGGCCCGCCCTGGGCCGGCTACGTCTATAGAAGTCTCAGTGGGAGAATGCACGCGGGATAAGGTAGTACCCATAGAGTCCAGTAGAGGGCTCTGCCTGTGTTTATATAACTAGGGTTACAATACGTAACCCTCCGTTACGTTTTGGGCCATTTGGAGCAGGTTAACTGCCACATTCTGTCATGAACAGAGACTGAGAGCTACAGTTCAAAGTGCTGACTACAGTCTGCAGGTTTCCGTGGGATTTAGAAGAACAGAGGGCATTTCTTGTAAATGCTGAAGGGAGGGGGAGCAGGGTTAACTGAGGGAAGTTATCTAAAAGTGAAAGGAAAATACATTCTAATGGGTAATGTAAGGGTATCAATCATTTGAGACCCTGAATAAGAGGTGCAATAAAATCATATCACATGAATGAGAAAACCTAGCAGGGAAAGAAATGGTAGTTTAAACACATCCATGCCCCTTCCCACCAAACCAGTTCGGTTCTAGCTCCGTGCTTTTCTGGTTCTGAACTGGTTCTCCTTTTTAGTCCCAGTTGTGTTCCCAGCCACTCACAACCACAACAATAGCGGACTGCATCGGGTTGATGCTCGTGTTGCTTTTAATAATATGAAGCCAGATTAGATTAAATCACTATTATGTAAAATGCTGAAGCCAACTGTCCATGTTTCTTTTAAATCACTTTCAGAGCTGCAGACTGCTGGAGGTGCAGTCAAACTGTAAATCAAATGTAGCTCTACATGTCCATGTGATCTTGGGCAAGATACTTAACTACAAATTGGTATGGCCAACGTGTGTGAGTGTGTGTGAATGTTGGTCTCCCTGAGCACCTTGCATGGCAGCCTCTCCCTCTGTATGAATGTGTGTGAATGGGTGAATGTTGATATGTAAAGAGCAATGAGGCCTTATATCTAAAATATATAATCTGTTCAATAAAAAAATATCTGAAAACATGAGGCTGTATTTCCCCTTGTTCTGTTTATTAAGGGAAGGATTTTATACTTTTTAATCTAAGAATCATCCCACTGTAGCTTAACGTCAGACTGTGATATCAGCAGTGTGTAGGTGTGGTTTGCTTCATGAAGTCTGTATTTAAGGAAGTGTTGCTGGAGACTAACTTCACTTCTTCAGCTCAGCAGCAGACCAGCTCCTCCCTCCATCACCAACTATGGCCAGCAAACATGCCCCAAAAGGTAAGTGAATAAACTTTATTGTTAATGATGATTGCAACTTATCTCAATAGATATTTATAGATGGATATGTAGCTTGACATATTTCCTAATAATGAACAGATCAAAACAGTTAATACAAAATTAATATTTCTTAAATTCCGAGCATTTTAAGAGCCTGGATGATTTTGCGAATGCGACACTGCTTTTACTTGCTTGCATTACATTCTTCACAAGACTACATGCAACTTATTAAAAATAATTTAAGGGTAGCCAGTACGAATTTTCTTTGGGCTCCTGATTATAACTAAAGGCAACTTATACCCTTAAAAAAAATGTAAGGCACAAAATGGAGTAATTTGTAGAAATATGAAAGATAGAAATTAAACATGTTGTAAGGACTATTTGTCAAAAATGTTTTCTTATTAAAACAAATGCACAGCTAGAGACCACTGCTGCACCATGTCAGTTCAGGTTACACAGGCAATTAAGAAGTCAAACATCCAGGCAAGATTACCATTTAGTGTGATATTAATTTCCAGTATTTGTGTTCATCATGGTGCCTCTCTCTTGCTCCGGTAAAGAAAAAACAAGGTCCCTTCAAGGTGCATCACTTGACATTGATAGACCCACTACCTTTATCACCAAACCTGCCATTCACCTAATAAATGCTTTCTATGTTGCCAATAATAAGGAATAAATGAAAAACATCAATTGAATGACATAGCTCCTAGACATGTTCTAGATTATTTAAACCATCTTGAGCCCACCCCCCTCACTGTCAACATTGTTCATGTGGTAGTTGAACCATTTTATAAATACCGAGATTGCTAAATATTTCTTCATTTTTTTCAGGTCACCGATCAGAATCAAACACGTACGATAACGATGTACTCCGGATTGTGATGGTGGGCAAGACCGGAGCTGGGAAGAGCGCCACAGGAAACACCATTCTGGGAAAAGAGTTCTTTCCATCAAAGTTCTCTTTTAAATCCTTGACTGTAAACTGTTCTAAGGCCATAGGTGAAGTTGATGGACAAATAGTTAAGGTTATTGACACTCCTGGTCTGTGTGACACCAAGATTGATGAAAAGACCACCAGAAAAGATGTTGGTAAGAGCATTTCTTATGCTTCTCCTGGACCCCATGTCTTCCTGGTCGTCATCAGACTGGGCAGATTCACAGATGAAGAAAAGCAGACAGTGCAGAAGATTCAGGAAATCTTTGGAGAGGAAGCGAACAAATACAGCATGGTTCTCTTTACCCACGGTGACCTGATTGGAGACCAACCTATCGAAGAGTTCTTGAAGGAAAGCGAAGAGCTGCAGGAACTTGTGGACAGATGTAACGGCCAGTGCCACGTCTTCAATAATGCCCTGAAGGATCGTTCTCAGGTCAGAGAGCTGCTCGACAAGATCAGAAAGATAGCAGATAAGAACGGAGGAAGCCATTACACCAATGACATGTTCCAGAAGGCAGAGAGGGCCATAGAAGAGGAAAAACAACGGATCCTTGAAGAGAGAGAAGAAGAAATACGCAAAAAGGAAGAGGAATTTCAAAAGAGATTAGATAAAAAGAATGAGGAACAATTACAAAAGATCAAAGAGGATGGTGAGAGGTCAGCAAGGCAGAAAGAAGCTAGCAAAAGAGAAATGGAGGATGAGAAGAACAGAATAAGAGAAGAGGAGGCAAGGCTGAGAGAAGCTAGCAAAAGAGAAATGGAGAAGGAGAGAAAGAGAATAAGAGAAGAGGAGGACAGGAAGGCCAGGAAGGAAGCTGAGGACAACCCTGGGATAATTGACGGGATTTGTTCCATTGCGAAAGCAGGTTGGAACATGTTAACTTCTTGGTTTTGATAAACTAACAGTTGCGCAGGTTTCCATGATACAGCCTGACCCGCTGGAATACCTCCCTGTTAATCTTCACAGTCACCTTTTTGATTTTGTTGTTTGATGTGATTTATAGTAATATCAGTTATTTTAGTGGTGAGTTGCAATTAAATACTAACAGGGTGACTGATTGTCAACAACCAAGATGTTAACATTCTAAACTATAGTAATGTAGTAATGTAGTAATTTGTTCTTTGATAGCTTTTGCTTTTACAAGAAAAAAGTATAACGAATTATATATCATGAATTAATGCTTTTAAGATGTTATATTGATATGTTTTCTTTGGCTTTCCTGTAACTGGCGTAATGTTGGCTTCTGTCAAATCAAAAGGTTAAAATGTGTGTATGCAATGAATTGTGTAATTCAATATGAAAAGTTTGGAACAGAAATTAATGTGTAAAGACAAACATAGTAATCAATAATGTCCTATAATAAAAAACTGTTGACTTCAAATTGAATGTGCTTTTGTTGTTTAATAAAGGATTTAAAATAAAGTTTTAAGGGTCTATCTTATTAGAAATGTCAGTTTAATTCACAACTGGGTCTCAATTCATTTTTTTCATGATCATAGAAAAAAAGCAACTATTTCTAGGTACATGAAGCCATTAAAAGTAAACTGGAAATGAATTTGAGCTACATTTCTGTTTATAAAGGCAGCAGATTTTTCCTACATTTTAATTGATTAAACGTCCCACTGTAGCGTAACTTAAGACATCAATAAACTGTGATGTCAGCAATGTAGTCTGCATTTAAATGTTAGGTCAATAAATCATATTTCTAGTGTTGAGTGTAATTCACCTAATGACATATTTATATAAAGACATGTAGCTTTTCAAAGCTCACAATGAACAGATAGTAACAGCGTAGTGACGGGGAAAGAGAAAACGTTAGACATTTCTCAAATCTCCAGCAGTCTTGTGAGCTTGATGATGATAAACTCCTCAACGATCTGTTTAACAAGATCAGAAATAAAGCAGAGAAGAAGGAAGAAAACTGAAATGTTCCAGAGGGCGGATGGTGAAATAAGAAATGGAGAATGAGCTCACATTTAAAGGTGGGGTATGTAATTTTGGAGAAACCAGCTCGAGATCGCTAGAATTTGAAAATACACAGCCGGAAAAAATCTGCCACTTCCTTACAGAGCCCCTCCTCCAACACACACGAACGCGCACATGACCAATGAGGGCACGAGATAAGTTTGTGCACAGCTGGAAGGCTGACAGGCAGGTAGGCCATCCAGTTATTTTAGCCGGGCCGGCTAAAATGATTGGTCGTGCTTTTTACAGCACTACAGCTTCCACAGATGACATTTTTTTTTTATGGATTTTTTGTCAAAGCATTTAAGATATTCATTGCTATCGGGATGTTAAGAGCATTCCATGGAATATAACAAAAAGTGTATCTCGAGCCGGTTTCTCAAACTTACCTACCCCACATTTAATATCTGAATATGACAAAGAAATGTTCCAACCTCTGAATGAGAGTTTAGGCAGGTTCAGACTTATTAAATAAAATACCATTTAAAATATTTAGTAAAAAGTGTTTTATGTATCTTCGGGTTTTGCCATTTCCATGCATTTAACCAAAATGAAATGTCTGAACCAAAATGCATTTATAAAATGTACTTTTATGTAATGGAACTCAAGAATGTCAATAAAATATTGTAACTCAGTCTGTAGTTTCCTGTATTTGAAATCAGTGTGTGTATAAGTTATGTTGTGGGGCCCATGAGTACTCAGTCACATCCCTACAATGTAAATGATTACGTTAACGTTTAAAGACTTAATTAACCCCTGTGTTCTGTTCACATTTTGCACTCTTTGGTACGGTTCAGCTCAAATTGACCCGAGCCAGGATAGCGGCTCTGTAAAGAAATACAGACATTTAAATGAACATACACAATCTCTAACATATTTTGACTATATCTCAGTCTTAAAACATTTATTATTTATGATTAATGTCTGCAAATACTTTCAGAGGACTCATTCCCTACTGGGAGTATAAGGGCCTCAGACTAAGAGCTGCAATTCAAAGGCCTGGCTTCACTCTGTACGTGCAGGTTTTTGTGGCATTTAGAAGAACAGGGGGCATTTCTTGTAAATGCTGAAGGGAGGGGGGAGCAGGGTTTACTGAGGGCAGTTATCTAAAAATGAAAGGCAAATACATTCTGATGAGAAATGTAAGGGTATAAATCATTTGAGTCCCTGAATAAGAGGTTGAATGAAATCATATCACATGAACATGAAAGCCTAGAGGGGGAAGAAATGGCAGTACAAAAAGGAAGATGGTCAGTTTAATCACTATTATGTTGTATGCTGAATCAGCCTGTCAATGGTTCTTTTGAAAACACTTTGACAAAGTTCAGGCTGCTGTAACAGTGTGGATCAGTCCCACATAACAGCTGCTGAAGGAGCTGGAGTCAAACTATAAATTGTCAATAAAAGTAGCATCTAAAATTACATTCATCTGGACTGTGTGTCAGTGTCTGAAAATAAATCCCATTTGTGCATTGACAATTTCCAACGCATTGAACTTTTGGAAATTGTATATTTTGTTCAGCCTTCTTCTCAGATATCAAATACAATGATGAGCTGCTCAGGGTTGTGATGGAGGGGGAGACTGAAGCTGGGAAGAGCGCCCCAGGGAACAGCATTATGGGAATGAGAACTTAAAATGAATCCCTTGCACCGTACACTACAATCTTGAATACAGCAAAACAACTTTGAGTTAAAGTTTATATGAGGATTCAACAGTTGGAGTTTAATTCCTAAGGAATTGAAGAATAATGTGTTTATATCAAAGCCCTGCTGATGGTTTTGAAAGTTTCCAAGCTTTTGAGTGCATCATAATATGACATCCTGTCATGAACAGAGAATGAGAGCTACAGTTCAAGTGCTAACTACAGTCTGCAGGTTTCATAAAATCATATCACATGAATGTGAAAACCTAGCGGGGAAATAAATGGAAGTTTAAACACATCCATGCCCCTTCCCACCAAACCAGTTCTCCGTGCTTTTCTGGTTCTGAACTGGTTCTCCTTTTTAGTCCCAGTTGTGTTCCCAGCCACTCACAACCACAACAATAGCGGACTGCGTCGGGTTGATGCTCGTGTTGCTTTTAATAATATGAAGCCAGATTAGATTAAATCACTATTTATGCCAAATGCTGAAGCCAACTGTCCATGTTTCTTTTAAAACACTTGGAGAGCTGCAGACTGCTGAAGGTGCAGTCAAACTGTAAATCAAATGTAGCTCTACATGTCCATGTGATCTTGGGCAAGATACTTAACCACAAATTGGTATGGCCAACGTGTGTGAGTGTGTGTGAATGTTAGTCTCCCTGAGCACCTTGCATGGCAGCCTCTCCCTCTGTATGAATGTGTGTGAATGGGTGAATGTTGATATCTAAAGAGCAATGAGGACTTATATCTAAAATATGTAGTCTGTTCAATTAAAAAAAACACATGAGGCTGTATTTCCCCTTGTTCTGTTTATTAAGGGAAGGATTGTATACTTTTTAATCTAAGAATCATCCCACTGTAGTTTAACGTCAGACTGTGATGTCAGCAGTGTGTGGGTGTGGTTTGCTTCATGAAGTCTGTATTTAAGGAGGTGTTGCTGCAGACTAACTTCACTTCCTCAGCTCAGCAGCAGACCAGCTCCTCCCTCCATCACCAACTATGGCCAGCAAACATGCCCCAAAAGGTAAGTGAATAAACTTTATTGTTAATGATGATTGCAACTTATCTCAATAGATATTTATAGATGGATATGTAATTTGACATATTTCCTAATAATGAACAGATCAAAACAGTTAATACAAAATTAATATTTCTTAAATTCCGAGCATTTTAAGAGCCTGGATGATTTTGCGAATGCGACACTGCTTTTACTTGCTTGCATTACATTCTTCACAAGACTACATGAAACTTATTAAGAATAATTTAAGGGTAGCCAGTACGAATTTTCTTTGGGCTCCTGATTATAACTAAAGGCAACTTATACCCTTAAAAAAAATGTAAGGCACAAAATGGGGTAATTTGTAGAAATATGAAAGATAGAAATTAAACATGTTGTAAGGACTATTTGTAAAAAATGTTTTCTTATTAAAACAAATGCACAGCTAGAGACCACTGCTGCACCATGTCAGTTCAGGTTACACAGGCAATTAAGAAGTCAAACATCCAGGCAAGATTACCATTTAGTGTGATTTTAATTTCCAGTATTCGTGTTCATCATGGTGCCTCTCTCTTGCTCCAGTAAAGAAAAAACAAGGTCCCTTCAAGGTGCATCACTTGACATTGATAGACCCACTACCTTTATCACCAAACCTGCCATTCACCTAATAAATGCTTTCTATGTTGCCAATAATAAGGAATAAATGAAAAACATCAATTGAATGACATAGCTCCTAGACATGTTCTAGATTATTTAAACCATCTTGAGCCCACCCCCCTCACTGTCAACATTGTTCATGTGGTAGTTGAACCATTTTATAAATACCGAGATTGCTAATTATTTCTTAATTTTTTTCAGACCTCCCATCAGAATCAAACACGTACAATAACGATGTACTCCGGATTGTGATGGTGGGCAAGACCGGAGCTGGGAAGAGCGCCACAGGAAACACCATTCTGGGAAAAGAGTTCTTTCCATCAAAGTTCTCTTTTAAATCCTTGACTGTAAACTGTTCTAAGGCCATAGGTGAAGTTGATGGACAAATAGTTAAGGTTATTGACACTCCTGGTCTGTGTGACACCAAGATTGATGAAAAGACCACCAGAAAAGATGTTGGTAAGAGCATTTCTTATGCTTCTCCTGGACCCCATATCTTCCTGGTCGTCATCAGACTGGGCAGATTCACAGAGGAAGAAAAGCAGACAGTGCAGAAGATTCAGGAAATCTTTGGAGAGGAAGCGAACAAATACAGCATGGTTCTCTTTACCCACGGTGACCTGATTGGAGACCAACCTATCGAAGAGTTCTTGAAGGAAAGCGAAGAGCTGCAGGAACTTGTGGACAGATGTAACGGCCAGTACCACGTCTTCAATAATGCCCTGAAGGATCGTTCTCAGGTCAGAGAGCTGCTCGACAAGATCAGAAAGATAACAGAGAAGAACGGAGGAAGCCATTACACCAATGACATGTTCCAGAAGGCAGAGAAGGCCATAGAAGAGGAAACACAGAGAATCCTTAACAAGAGAGAAGAAGAAATATGCAAACAAGAGGAGGAATTTAAAAAGAGTTTAGATAAAAAGTATGAGGAACAATTAAAAAAAATCAAAGAGGATGGTGAGAGGTCAGCAAGGCAGATAGAAGCTAGCAAAAGAGAAATAGAGGAGGAGAGGGGGAGAATGAGAGAAGAGGAGGAAAGGCTGAGAGCAGCTAGCAAAAGAGAAATGGAGGAGGAGAAGATCAGAATAAGAGAAGAGGAGACAAAGAAAGCCAGGAAGGAAGCTGAGGACAACCCTTGGGTAATTAAGTTCATTTCTTCCATTGCGAAAAAATTCTCGAAGGCTGTGGAAGCTGTGGCAGAAGTTGTGAACGCTGTGGCAGAAGGTGTGAAATTGTTTGCGTCGACTTTAGAGTCTGACCCTCTGCCTCCTTGTTAATCTTCACAGCCCCCTTTTTGATTTTGTTGTTTGATGTGATTTATAGTAATATCAGTTATTTCAGTGGTGAATTACAATTAAATAATAACAGGGTGACAGATTGTCAACAACCAAGATGTTAACATTCTAAACTATAGTAATGTAATGTAAACTAATGTGTTCTTTGATAGCTTTTGCTTTTACAAGAAAAAAGAAAAATATATACAATAATAATGTTGGCTTTTGTAAAATCAAAAGGTTAAAATGTATACATGCAATGCATTTTGGAATTAAATATGAAAAGGAAGACAAATTAATGTTCAAAGACAAAAATGTAATAATCAAAAATGACTGTTGACTTCAAATTGAATGTGTTTATGTTGTTTAATAAAGGATTTAAAAGAGAGTTTTAAGGGTCTATCTTATTATAAATGTCAGTTTAATTCACAACTGGGTCTCAATTCATTTTTGTCATGACATCATAGCATCTATTTCTCGGTACATGAACCCATTAAAAGTAAACTGGAAATGAATGTGTGTTAAATTTCAGTTTATAAAGGCAGCAGATTTTTCATACATCTTAATTGATTAAACGTCCCACTGTAGTGTAAGTTAAGACATCAATAAACTGTGATGTCAGCAATGTAGTCTGTATTTAAATGTTAGGTCAATAAATCTAGTGTTGAGTGCAATTCATCTAATGACATATTTATTTATAGATATAGCTAGCTTTATAGATAGCTCACAATGAACAGATAGTAACAGCGTAGTGATGGGGAGAGAGAAAAAGTTAAACATTTCTCAAATCTCCAGCAGTCTTGTGACCTTGGATGATAAACTCCTCAACGATCTGTTTAACAAGATCAGAAATAAAGCAGAGAAGAAGGAAGAAACTGAAATGTTCCAGAGGGCAGGTGGTGAAATAAGAAATGGAGGATGAGCTCACATTTAATATCTGAATATGACAAAGAAATGTTCCAACCTCTGAATGAGAGTTTAGGCAGGTTCAGAATCAGACTCATTAAATAAAATACCCTTTTAAATATTTAGTAAAAAGTTTTTTATGTATCTTCCAGTTGTGCCATTTCCATGCATTTAACCAAAAGTGAAATGTCTGAACCAAAATGCATTTAAAAAATGTACTTTTATGTAATGGAACTCAAGAATGTCAATAAAATATTGTAACTCAGTCTGTGGTTTCCTGTATTTGAAATCAGTGTGTGTCTGTGTACCTGTATAAGTTATGTTGTGGGGCCAGTGGCGTCGCCTGGCCTGGGCATCCGGGGCTTTAGCCCCGAATGTTTTTTCTGTAGCCCCGGACAATTCTCCCTCAATAATATAATACATTAACCGTGCTTTACGTGAACCTCATCATGACACAAGAGAGGACGGTAGCACTGTCATTTCCCGTGTTCAGTGAATGCAACAGAGGCATGACACCAGACCAATCAGAGAGTTGCATGGAAATAAACGTGTGCTTGTGTCATTCAAGCTCGGCTCTGTGTGTGTGTGTGGCAATAGAGTGGCGAAGTCCCTCCCCTTCCGGTGGACCTCCATGGGACCTTATTTCGGAAAAATTATGTATTGAAGTCAATGGAAAGAGAAAGATTATCTTTCGATCCCGTTTGAATTGTGCCCCGAATTACACATATGATGTTTGTCAATTTAAAAGATAATTTTGCAAGTAGAAAAAAAAAAAATGTGTCGTAAAACTGTGAAGTAACCTTTTTTGTGTGTGAAACGCTCAATGAACTACATCTCTGGTCAACAACACACGTCACCAAGATGGCCGTCACTACTGTCTTGTCAACACAACGTTTGACTACCCTCACTATCACCACAATGAAACACGTCCTGAAGAATGTCATGCAAAGCTGCCTGCCTGCCTTCCTTTGATTCTCTCTGAACTGCCTGGTCGTTTTAATGTTTAATGTCAACCATTTGTGCAGATAGCATGAAGTAGAGAAGATCGCTAGCGTTAGCGTTAGCATTTCTCCCCCGGGCTTAAATGGTGTATTATAGAATGATCACACCGGTGACAGTACTCTTCAAAGGGTTCACGAAATATGACTACTACTCTTACTGTTTAACATTTTGGGTTACTTAATGTTACTTCATGTTAAGGCTAATACAAATGACAAGGCTGTAATGCTAACTAACGTGCTAGCTACTAGCTTGCTTGATCCACACACTCCTCTTTCATCAGACGGGAAGCGAAAGAACGAGCAAGACCCATTGCTGGTATAATAACAACCTGGTACTAAGCACACAGGCATCTTGTGAAAGTTATCTTATCTTAGCCAGCGCCATATAGATAGATTCTATCTATATGGCGCTGATCGTATATATACGGTATTATACGTATATCGTAGTGTCTCAATTGTGACATCACTTACGCGACTCTGGGATTTGTAGTCTTTCTAGTTGCGTATTTTTCATAGTCTTATGTTTCAACAGTTTTACGACAAACTGTGACTTTTTTGACATGGAAATGATTTTTTAAGATTGACAAACATCATATGTGTAATTCATGGCACAATTCAAACGGGATGGAAAGATACGTTTTCTCTCCCCATTGACTTCAATGCATAATTTTTCCGAAATAAGGTCCCATTACCCGGAAGTAAGTGGGCGTGACTTCGCCACTCTATAGCGCATTTAGTGTGATAGAGAGAGAGAGAGAGGGAGAGGGGGAGGGAGGGACCGGTGCCAGCATGGACCATGTTGTTAGCATCTGGTTAGCTAGCTGTGCTAACGGACATAAGGAGCTGTTTGTTCCACAAGAAGCTGGAGGATAGTCCTCTCCTCTCAGACTGAGAGACTCAGGTGAGCTAAAGGACTCTCTGAGTGTTTAGATACATAACTTTAGTCTACGTTATCTCAGTGGGTCTCAAACGGTTTGGTCACAAATTATTCAAAAGATTATTTCCGCGGCACACCTTCATATGATCAATATAGTTATAAAAAAAATAAGAGAATAAAGGAAAAACAGTTATGAAATACTATATGGCAGTAAAACAAGAATAGAGTTTAAAAGGGGAGTGATTTGTAAAATATCCATAAAGAAAAAGTACATCTGTTTACAGTTCTGCTTCATATGGGTGTTGAGAGAGGTATTGTTAGTGATGCCATGATCTTAGGGCAGGAATACCGTGAACATAGTTTAACGTGACAGAGGAATAAATACACACATACACCATCAGCTGTGCTTCAATCGGAAGTGACACGTTTTATTGCGCATGTCCCTTTTATCACGGGAATACAGGAAGTGATTAGTATAAGAGTATTAAATAAACAGAATTCATATATTACATTTCATAATTCAACAGGTATCCATAGATCTCTTCATTTTGCTCTCAAAGTGCACCAGATTGATGCATTTAACTTCAATATTTAAAAAAAAATCTTCCCGGACCCCCACGAGGAGGTGAGCCCCCCACTCATAAAAAATATCACTTTACCCCTGCCTATATGCCGTGAGCTGATTATCGAGCCTTCATTGTAACAGTCGCGGGTGTATTGTGTGTGTGCGTGTGGGGAGTGTTACAGTGAAAAATGCCACTGTAGTGCCGCGGCCACTGTGGGCTAAGCCCCGAATGTTTTCAGGTCCAGGCGACGCCCCTGTGTGGGGCCCATGAGTACTCAGTCACATCCCTACAATGTAAATGATTACGTTAAAGTTTAAAGACTTAATTAACCCCTGTGTTCTGTTCACATTTTGCACTCTTTGGTACTGTTCAGCTCAAATTGACCCGAGCCAGGATAGCGGCTCTGTAAAGAAATACAGACATTTAAATGAACATACACAATCCCTAACATATGTTGACTATATCTCAATCTTAAAACATATATTATTTATGATTAATGTTTGCACTCATTCCCTACTCGGAGTGTCATGCCCACAGATTAAGAGATGATGCTGATCAACAGAGACTAATAGCCCTTTCCCACAAAAGCGGTTCCCGGGCCGGTTCGGACCAAGTGCCCAATTAAGAAACGGTTCTTCCTGTTTCTACCGCAGCGGGACAGGCTCTTGGCCCCAAAAAACAGTTATCATCCGGCACCACTCAACTGCCCTTCGAGAACCAAGAACCAATACATCATGCTTACGTCGGAGGCCGGGTGGAAATTAACCTAAGCAGTTTGTTGCGAGTACGGTGTTTTACAGAATAAAGTTGTTACAAGCAGAAGCGCTCAGCAATGTGACTAGAACGTGACCACACATACAAAACACACGTATATAAAGTCAGGCAACACTAACCAGGCTTAGTGTGATGCTGTTTATTTTTAACGTACTTTTAATGGCCATCCGTTCGTTGTTATCTCCCGTTTTGAAGAACAGCACCCTGCTTCAGCGGCATTCGTTTTCCTGTTGTGTTTTATCATAGCAGCTATCGGGTGGAATTGGTACATGGGCTACACAGGTTGCCATGTCAGACTATCACAAGTAAAATCCTAATGAAAAATACATCTGTAGAAGACGGCTCATCATCAGGGGTATAAGAAGGACAAGGAGAAGGCCTGGCTTCACTCTGTACGTGCAGTTTTTTTTGGAGCATTTTGAATAACGGGGCATTTATTGTAAATGCTGAGGGGAGGGGAGCAGGGTTTACAGAGGGCAGTTATCTAGTGCAGTGGTTCCCAAACTTTTTGTGCCCAAGGCACACCAAAGGACAAGTCAAAATCTCAAGGCACACCTATTGTGCAAAATAGCCCTTATAACACGTGTTATCACTCATATCATGTAAAATATCTGTAAATGTGCATAATTATTTACTGATGCCAAATAAAATGTGACAAAGACAACTATATTACTCATGAAATATTTATTAACGAAATATTTCAGAAATTAATTTGAAACTTTATCAAATTAGGCTTCATCAAAGCAGCAACACACTCATTTAAACCAGTCAGGTCACAAAATAAAAAATTGTGGAGAATGGTCGGCTCCCATCTCGGCGCACAGCTGGGAGAAGAGGCAAGATTTCAGGGGCCTTGATTTGACGTAATTCACCATCTGCACAGCCTGATTCAGCACCTCAGTCAACTCCGGGGGCATGGTTTTGGCAACTAATGCCTCTCTATGCAAAATGCAGTGGTTTGTCACGATATATGTGGGTTTTGTGCTCTCACCTTAGCAATAAATCCTTTCACTCTCCCCGTCATGCTTGCCGCACCATCTGTGCAAAGACTGACGCACATATTCCAGGTCAGACTGTTCTCTTTTAAATAGTTATTAGTTACCCTGAATATTTCTTCTAGAAAAACGTCTCTTTGATAGAGTCAGCATTAGGGATGCCAGCGATTATTCGATTTTTCGAATATTCGTTAGTCTCCATAATCGAAAATTATTTTTAAAATTCGATTTTATTTATATATATTTTTATTATTATTTATGTTTTCTTTTTTTTTTTTCTGGCTTAGTTTCAACCAAAATACTGTATAGACTAATGCTAATAGTAATAGTATTAATAATTGTAAATGGCCATTGGTCACAACACCAGTTTGTTTTACTGTAAACTTGGAGGAAGAGTGCAGACTGCTGCAGCCTGCTACACACCGATCGGCGAGGGGTGGGGGTGGATATTTCAGAATTATTTTTTAAACGAAATCCCTTGTTAACTTCATCTGAGAAGGTTCTGCTGGGCGGGCAGTATAGCAGCACTGGAGCACTACTCTGGTTTGATTGTTGACATGTTTGTTTACAAGAGCCGACCCACCCTCTTATTGTATATCAGTTACTGATTGAACGCTACAGCTGATCTGATACTTATGAAATTTACTGCAGTTTCACACCGGAGTGAACACTGATGAGAGGTTAAACTCAAGATCATCACTCTAAAGTTCTGTATTCGATTTGTTTTCTGATTTAAGATCTAGTTAAAGGTATGTTTTAAATGTAATGTTAACAAAAAAAAAGAGCACAAACATCTGTCTTCATACAATAGAAATAATTGTTCTATTCATGATCTGTGATATATATTATTTACTTTTACGTACAGGCCTACAATTTAATGCTGAGGGTGTAGGGGAGTTTGTCTGTCAGAATCAAACTTATTAGGGTTAGTAAGCTTGTAATAGGCTATAGGTTATTTGTTTGCAGGTGTGGTAAACAGGCAACACAATGCTTCTTCTTTTTAATGTCCTCAACTCGATCATTAATCCCTGTGATGTTCCTCCAATTGTGCCATCGACTGCTCTCTGTGATAAGTTTCTTACATTTTTTATTGAAAAAGTATCTGCTCTTTGGCTAGCCCACACTAGTGCTACCCCAGATCCTGCTCCTTTTCTGTGCCCTGCTGTCCTCGACCACTTTGAGCCTGTATCCCTCTCTTCTCTCTCGGATGTAGTCAAGCACCTGCGGCCGACAAACTGCACCTCAGACAGCATTCCCTCTCGCCTTCTCAGAGATGTTTTTGATTCAGTTGGAGTAAGTATTTTATTACTTATAAATACCTCTCTTAGCTCAGGATGTGTCCCAGCTGCCTTCAAACATGCCGTGGTTAAGCCACTACTTAAAAAGAAAAATCTCGACCCCTCCATTCTCGCAAATTTTAGGCCCATCTCCCAGCTACCTTTTTTATCAAAAGCCCCGGAGCGAGTAGTCTACGCCCAGCTGCAGTCTTTTTTAACCATCCATGGAATCCATGCAAAGTTTCAGTCTGGCTTCAAACCCATGCACAGCACTGAAACAGCCCTTTTAAGAGTTTTTAATGATCTGCTCCTAGCCGCCGACTCAGGCAGCCCAGCTGTCTTGGTGCTGTTAGACCTGACAGCTGCCTTTGACACTGTGGACCATAGCATCCTGTTGTCACGGCTTGAACAGTCCGCTGGCATCACAGGCTCTGCCCTTGCATGGTTCAGGTCCTACCTGAAAGACCGTAGCTTCTCAGTGCAGCTAGGTGCCTTCTCCTCTGCCAAAGCCCCTCTTATCTGTGGGGTTCCCCAAGGCTCGATTCTGGGCCCCATCCTTTTTCTACTGTACATACTGCCCCTAGGTTCAATTCTCACAAAACATAACATTCCCTTCCACTGCTACGCCGACGATGTACAGATCTATCTGCCTCTCAAAGCAAATGTCAAACACTCACTACAGCAGCTGATGGACTGCTTAGCAGAGATTAAATCCTGGCTGAGCAAAAACTCTCAACCTCAATGAGAGCAAGACTGAGGTCATCTTTTTTGGACCGCAACCTCCAGCCTCTCCGGTTGATATTCTGGGCTCTATCAAAAAAAACATCCTCCCCTCGGTCATGAACCTTGGAGTGACCTTCAATAGCGCTTTTAAATTCGATAAGCAGGTCAGCAGCGTAGTCAAAACCTGCTTTTTTAAAAGACGACTATTGGCCAAGACCAAGTCGTTTTTATCGTTTGAGGACCTGGAAAGGGTTATTAACGCCTTTGTTACCTCGAGGTTGGACTACTGCAACGCTCTGTATGTGGGTATGGACCAGGCGTCAATTAAACGCCTGCAGCTAGTCCAGAACGCAGCTGCACGTCTACTCACTGGCCACAAAAAGCGTGACCACATCACCCCTATTCTGGCCTCACTACACTGGCTTCCAGTTCGGTTCAGAATTTATTTTAAAATCCTTTTATTTGTTTTTAAAGCCCTAAATGGGCTGGCTCCGGCCTATATAGCTGAACTCCTCCAGCGCTACACCCCAGCCAGAGCTTTAAGGTCTGCTGACCAGCTGTTGCTGGTAGTGCCCAAGACCAGGCTCAAAACCCGAGGGCACCGAGTCTTCGCAGCAGCTGGCCCGAGGCTCTGGAACACTCTGCCCCTCCATGTGAGGTCGGCCCAGACCCTAGGGGTTTTTAAATCTACTCTTAAGACTCACTTCTTCTCCCTGGCCTTCTAGTCAGAGCGGAGCACGACTCCTGACTTTTCCTTGTGTTTTTTTTTTAAATATCTGTTGTAATTTATTGTCTTTTATTGTGATTATAGAAATGTGTTTTTATGTGATTGTAGTTATTACATGTACAACACTTTGGCCCGACCAAAAATCGCTTTTAAATGTGCTTTATAAATAAACCTTGATTTGATTTGAAAACAACAACAAGGAGACTCAGATTAGATTTTTCCAATATTATACTGTTATTTAATAATCAGATTTTCATAAATATGTACATAACAGAATATATCAAAGAAGGAAAAGTCATAATCTGCAGAGTCAGATTTACTAAAACACTCGTCTGTCCTTCTGGTTTTGTGCGCTTCAGCTTTTTTTGCCACCATTTAAAAAATAATCCTAACAGGTTTTAATAATACATTATTTTACAATCCATGAGGGATCTTTTTTAATCGTCTCGTTCTCTGGGCCCAGGATGGCGACACCACACGTCCTCTGACCGACACCCAGATATCTGTGGGGGGAAAGCACCAAAGACACATTTGAATTTGAACTCACAGATAGATGCAGAATGCTTCGTTTTTAAATGTACTTTCTATCTGGGTTTCTTAACACAATTTGCATAAAGGTTTTTACCTCTCGGCGACCTCCACCAGACTTCTGTGAGAGACAGCGAAGAGCCTCTCTCTGTGACCCTGCAGCATCTCGTCTGTGACTCCACTCAGGAAACGACCCATTCCTACAACACACACATTAACACACACATTAACACACACACACCATGGAACAAGTGTCTGGTTAAAAGCAGCACAACAAAAAACGGTTCAATTTAAAAAAGGGATATGCACCCAAATTAAGGCTGCAATTAACTATTATTGTGTTCATTATGAAATGTTCATACTTTTTGCTGGATCAAATACTCACAAAGAAAGTGGTTTCTGTAAAATATCTAACCGAAAACCCTGAAATACTCATTCTAAAATGAAGAACTAGGTAAATACTGTAAATACGCCTCTGGCCACCAAACCAAAACATTTATTTAGTCATTCAAACCCCCAACACTGAAAGTTTAATAATAACCTTTCAGACAAAACCTGGGTTAAAATCAGATTTTAAGAGGTCTAAAGATCTGAAGTTGTATTACAGCTCTCTATAATTGATATAATCAGGATAAAACCCTTTACAAATAGTATGTCCAGTTGTTTGAACACAGTGGGGGTCTCACACACACAGACCATGTGTAAAAAAACAATTATAAAACCCTAAGATATTCATTTTAAAAAGACATAAACCATAATAAATAAATACCACGTTGCCTAACCAAAGTAAAACTGTTTATAGTTTACTATTGAATAGTTTCTCCGTTTTCCTTGGCACAGTTTGATTGATAGTTGCTGTGACGAAACCTCACAACACTGTAAGCTTAATAAGGTCGCATTCACACCTAATAGTCCGTTTTCAGGTGCGCACCAGACGACAGTTTGTTACATTGTTACATTTTTCAGAAGGTTCGGTTTGCGTTCACACCAAACGGACTATAAACTTTAAACACAAGTCATGTGCTCGGAAATGCTGTTCAACCATTGGTCAGACATTAAGGGGGTAAAAACGCAAAGATTTTGAAGACATCCGCGTTCTTGTGACACGTAAATACTACGCTTCCTATGTTTTGGTGCGGACTGCGTTCACACCAGCGATGAACCGCTCCAGAGTTCACTAGCAAGCGGTCTGAGACCACTTGTTTTAAGCGGACCAGAGTCCGGTTGTTTAGTTCACTTCAGAGGTCTCGGACTGCGTTCACACCAACCCAAACGAACCGCACCAAGCGGCTAAACGCACCAGGGTTCGATTCAACCGGACTATACAAGGCTGGTGTGAATGCGACCTAACACAAATGTGTATGAAACTAATGGTTTAAATCAAATGTTAAGACTAGTCTAAAGATCTAAACTCATAATTCAGCACTCTATTATTAATCTAATCACTCTAAAAACCCAACTGCAGATGATCATAAGATTTGATATTGAAAAGGTATCTGGTCCGTCACGTTATCCAGTTGTTTCCACACAGTGGGGGTCTCACCTTTGCTGGCGGGGGCCACAGGTGAGTCCACGGCGGAGAAAACTGACAGTTTGGCCTCGTCGATGTCCTGCTGGGAGAAATCACCCGACTTGGCCCAATCGACGCCTCTGCGAAACGCTGAGAGGGTCTGCATGGAGTTCGGGTCCCTGAGGAGAGGAGAGAGGAGAGAGGAGATTTAACGTGAGGTCAACACTCTGAGAAAACAAAGACGGAGGCATTCACATTTAAAAAGAATAAAACCAGAACATTAAATCTGAGTCTCCATGTTGTTGTTTTCTGATCATACATTTTAATTGGGTGTTTTAAGTATTACAACGTATAATGCTTTGCCTTTTCATATTTGTTTTAATCCATAATTCAGTATGACTTGTTTGAGAAATAAGTAGGACTTTATATTTTACACATTCTACACATTTTAAATTCTAAGTAGAAGATCTGAGTACTTGTCCCACCTCTGCAAGAGACTAATTGTTGCAGATGTAAAACCGTCCTCTTCTACCTCACCCCTTCATAACTGAGGTTAGTTATTTTTAATGGCGTTATATCAACGGGTTACAGCAAGTAAAGAACTATTTCTTTTTGGTGTCTATCTACGCTGGGATCTGAGTCCTGAGTCCTGATCTGAGTCCTGGATTTGAGTCCTGGATTTGAGTCCTGGATTTCGAGTCGTGGATTTGAGTCGTGGATTTGAGTCCTGGATTTGAGTCCTGGATTTCGAGTCGTGGCTGAACCTGAGTCCTGAGTCCTGATCTGAGTCCTGGATTTGAGTCCTGTATTTCGAGTCGTGGCTGAACCTGAGTCCTGAGTCCTGATCTGAGTCCTGGATTTGAGTCCTGTATTTCGAGTCGTGGCTGAACCTGAGTCCTGATCTGAGTCCTGGATTTCGAGTCGTGGCTGAACCTGAGTCCTGAGTCCTGATCTGAGTCCTGGATTTGAGTCCTGTATTTCGAGTCGTGGCTGAACCTGAGTCCTGAGTCCTGATCTGAGTCCTGGATTTGAGTCCTGTATTTCGAGTCGTGGCTGAACCTGAGTCCTGAGTCCTGATCTGAGTCCTGGATTTCGAGTCGTGGCTGAACCTGTCACTGTGGTCCTGCCTGACTCTCATCATACCACTTCCCTGATGGCTCCCACAGGATTGTTGACATCCTCGTGGATTCATCTTCTTATTATAGACACATGCATTTCAAAACATTTGGTCTACCTATGTTGTAAATGTATTATCTTTTCGATGTTAGGAGTGAGATAGAGATTATATATCTAATATATGCATCCGATGAAGCATTGCATGAAGTCTGTTGATGAATCAGAGGCTGTTGTTGGGGCTGCATAAACGTTTTTCAATTTTCGTTTTGTAGGCAGACCATGCAGCCCGATGGTCACCAAGGTTCATGTTTTAATAGCATTTTTACAAAAAAAGCCCAGACGAGCCTAACATGTGAAAAAATGGCTTAGACCTCAGAGTTAAACTTGGGCCTCCGACCATAGCTTTACTGTCTTTTGTTTTGAAAATCCACAGCGGAGGTTTGTGTCGTATTTTGCATTTCTCTCAGTAGCCAACGATCTGTGAGTCTGTTGGACATAACCTCCGTAATACATGTAGTCTACATTTCATAAGAGGTGTAAAACCTGTGAGCATTTTAAATCGCATTTGAACGAAATGCTTGTATAATCTGTAGTTGCATTTGTATTGTTGATGTAATGTGTGAACGAGGCGATATAGAGGTTAAGCTGTCATTATTAGGCTGTTATATACTGTTGGAGTGGTGAGCAGGCCTATTGTTATGGGATATTTGTGGAGTCAGGTGGTCCGCGAGTGTTTTTTTATTGGTTAAATGTCCTTGGTATGAAAAGGTTTGAGAAACCCTGGTCCACACAACTGTGAGTAGAACAGGTATCAGTGCGTTGATCTGCTCCCACCTGTATGAGTAAAAGGAGAAGAGTCCGCCTCCCATCCTGGCTCCGCCCCCATAAGCCCCGCCCTTCTCCCGGATTTCTCCGTGGAGAAACTTCGACGTCATCATCCTCGCCAAGATGCACAGACTAGAGAAAGAAGAGAGAGAGAGAGAACGTTTTTACAGAAAGGAATAAGTTATACCAGCGGATCCCAAATGCAAGACATTAGGATTTGTGTGGAAACATTTCATTATTAAGATTTTTTATTTTTGTATTTGAACCTCCTTTCCTTTCTCTTTCTTGATCCTCCTTAGCAACGGTCATTAGAGTCCTTGACAGCGGTCTGTTCTACTGGATTAACAACGTGTCACATGTTCTGAATTGACCAATCAGAATCGAGTATTCAACTAAACCTCCGTATTGTTTATGGTTGAATGTGGGCCGCGATTTTTTATAATAATAATACATTTCATTTATATAGCACACTTTAAAAACAACGTCATCTCAAGGTGCTTCACAATGCTATAAGGAGAAAATAATAAAACAAATAAAATAAATAGTTATCTAAGGAGCATATTGAATAAAATATGGTAATATAGCATAAAAGGTTAGAATAGAACATTCTTATACTAAGTTATACTAACTGTAGAAATAATCATTCAACTTTAATCTTCCTTCCTCTGGATATGTTGTGTTTGTTTACCTGGCGTAGTCCTCGTGGGCGAACGGCACCGTGCGGATGCTCTCGCTGATGAAGTTGATGGGGAACGGCATCTGGAAGAACGTCTTCATCTGACACGGCTGGAAGTTCACCTCCTGGAGAGAGAAGAGTTGAAACACGCACTGATTCATCCGGATTCAAAATGTATTTATCAAGTAGGATTGCCACATGTAAACGGGACGTGGTCTTAGGAAAATGTCCAAAGAAAATATGACAAATGCAGGTGTTTACATGATGTTAAAGGTGTAGCATCATTTAAAACAATACGCTGAAGGCATTCATATCTTTCGTCATATTGCAATAGTGTTATCTAAAATATTAGCAGGAATACAAATCAATAGTATGGTTTCAATAAAATCTTGTTGCTTCCTTAAGCAAATACGATTTTTTTCAATATTTTAGATTTGACATTAAGATTTAGATTTATTTTAAGATTTTTTAAGATTTACTGTAAAGGTCCCATGTCATGCTTTTCCGGTTATTACCCGTCCCCTTGTGTTATGAAGGTTTTTCTGCATGTAAACGGTCTGCAGAGTCACAAACCCTCAAAGTACACCCTGTAGCGAGTAAAACTCTAACACAGAAAAGACCTGTCTATGCTGCCCCAGAATTTCTCTTTTTCCATTTTCTTCTTCCGGGTCCTTTTGACGTAACGAAGTCCAAATGGACCAATTGGCGGTGTCTCGCAGACCCCACGCAGCAACCAGGAAACGACACCAGTAATCCAGCTCACTGTCCCCTCCTCACAGCAGCGAGCCCCACAGACCCAGACCCCACGCAGCATTAGCCGCGTTCACACCAAGTACTTTCCTGTACTTAGTTCCGGCACTAAGAGCCCTGGCGCTTTTAACCCCAGGGTACTTAGTACAGATCGCGTTCACACCGGAGTACTTTTCCCTGAGGGAAGATTACAAGTACAGTAGGTGGCGGTAAGCACCTTAAAGTTGTTTGCAACCCGCTACAAAACAAGAGAAGAAGAAAAACTGATACAGGATCTGTTTAATCGCCATGTCGGTTTTCTTTATTGCACTCTCAAGACATAACATTAAATAGAAATATTTTAAATGTAACTAAAGTGTCAGTTGTACATGTCAGTAAACATTGTCAATATAAAATAAAGTGTCAGTTGTACTATATAATAACAGTAATAACAATATAAAATAAACTCCCAGCTGTAGGGAGTCTCAGCAGCAAACCCACCTTTATTATATATCTTCCTGAGACCCACTGCATCCGTCTGCCATAAACACTATGCAAACATACATGTTAGTTTTGGCCCATAGTGGACTCCATGTTGTGTTGTGTGAAATGGGGGGAATTAAAAGTTTAGGTCAAATAATATTTAAAATTATATAAATTGTCATATTTGTGTATGTGCCCCTGCCATTCCCCCACAAGGTTGCAACATTGATGATAAATAAATGACAAATAAAGCTTTGCCAGTTTATAACCGATGAAACATGATGGTATCAGAATAATCACTTACATGTGATGTATAGGATGCTACACAGGTCACAAAAGATAAAGTGTCAGGAGAAATAAGCTTAATCGCCATGTCGGTTTTCTTTATTGCACTCTCAAGACATAACATTAAATAGAACAATTTTAAATGTAAATAAAGTGTCAGTTGTACATGTCAGTAAACATTATATATAAAATAAAGTCATAACAGTAATAACAATATAAAATAAACTGTCCCAGGTGTAGGGATATTCCCAGCAGCATGCACACCTTAGTGCAACGTTGTGTGTCGTGTGTCAGTATTTACAAAAACTATACCAAATAAACTGTTATTAAATGCAGTTTGTCGCTCATCCTGCCGCTGCGCCGACGCTTCCTCATGGCGCAGCGCCCACACTTCATCCTGGTGCTGCTGGCGCTCCATCTGCTGCCTGGCGCTCCATCGAGGTGAGCATCTTGTCCTCCGTTTCCTGGGCCTTGGTGAACAGCACCATCTGATCTCCACGCAGCGACTCATTCACCACGGCACGCCGGTCCTCCAACGCCTGGGCGGTGTCAAAGAAATTCACATCCCGTGTCCGCTTTCCTAAGAGGGGAAAATAAGCAATATACAATATACAAGTTTAGTCGCCATGTAGTTTTACAACATACTAGGAATGTGTTTTTTGTATTTTCACAAATAGAATTAAGGTTTCACAAATCTGAAACTGTGTTATAAAGAATCTTTTGACTCTCTGGGATAATCCAGTCCAGATTTGATGAGTGTAGGTATAGTGGTTTTAGATCAGGACCTGGTCTAATGTGGTCTACATGTAAAAAAAGCACTGAAATCTCCCTTTTTTTTATTTTCACAAATAGAATTAAGGTTTCACAAATCTGAAACTGTGTTATAAACACGGAGGATTGTTCCTTTTTGAAGAGTGCTTCATGTATGCTTGAACTTTGTTTAATGTTGTTGAGGCAAGTTAAACATAAAATATGATGAATATTATGAAATAAACATGATTGTGAACATCAGTTCGATGCGTAACGTTCTTTCAAGACAAAATTACAGTGTGTGTACCTTTGCGTTTGGTTGCTGGTAAGGAGGACGACAAAGCGCTGTGATCTAGAATGCAAAGCTCACTTGTTTCCAATCCCGAGAGTTGTCCATCCTCGCCTGAAACAGACGATTAGTGCCATGAGTTAGTGAAGCAAATTACAGAAACACTGCACAGTTATTCACAAGTCAAAACGTTTTCATACAGCGGAGAATATCTAGCTAGCTAGATGTAGCTAGCCGGGGCCGGTGTTAGCCTATTATGGCTAGCATGGCTAGCTTGATCTACTGAGCAAATAAAAGTACATCTGAGACCATTATTGTGCAGATTAAAACCCCAGTGCATGTAGTTGATTTTACCTTCATCGTGGTAGTCATCGTTGGCCACTGAATCCGCCGTTTGTAGTCCTGAGTTTCTTTATATTTAGCCGGCTGTGCACAATTCCCAGGTCGAGTGAAAGCTACCGAACTGGCTTCAGTAGCATTCCCTGGGTCGCCTCCTCGGCGTAGATCTCCAGAAGCGCCGACACCTCCTCATCATTTCTTGATGCTTGCCATAACTGCTTTCAAAAACAAACACAACGCACGGAGCGTTGTGTTTTTGTAGCGAGGAAAAACAATGGCGTCTCCACACAACATTTTCAGAGTTGTACGGGCGTGGTTTGCAATTCGCCCAGCCAATCAGCACTGGGGAACTTTTGGAGCACTTTTCACCCACAGAAAAGTACGCTCTCTGAGCTGGCTCTAAAAATGGGGGTAAAAGTACCCGAGATTAAGTACGATTTTTGGTGTGAACGCGACATAAGGGGTACTCACGGAACTAAAACGCGAAAAGTACGGTGAAAGTACTCCGGTGTGAACGCGGCTATTCTCATCTGTTTGTCATTACTGGTGTCATTTTCTGGTTGCTAACAAACGCCATTGTAACACATAATCACTGATGTTCCGCTGTAACGGTGGTGGACTCATCAGAACAGAGTGGGCGAGCTGACCAATCAGAGCACAGTGGGCTCAAAGGGAGGGGGGGGGGCAGGAGCTCCAACAAGCCGTTTAGGACAGAGAGTGATTACACATACTTTACAGAGATGCTGTATGAGAAACCAATGTGAGTTTGGAACATTGAACAATGTAAATCTATTCTAACCTAACCTATCTAACCTGCTTTTTTAAAATACGACTATTGGCCAAGACCAAGTCGTTTTTATCGTTTGAGGACCTGGAAAGGGTTATTAATGCCTTTGTTACCTCGAGGTTGGACTACTGCAACGCTCTGTACGTGGGTATGGACCAGGTGTCAATTAAACGCCTGCAGCTAGTCCAAAACGCAGCTGCACGTTTGCTGACTGGCCACAAAAAGCGTGACCACATCACCCCTATTCTGGCCTCACTGCACTGTCTTCCAATTCGGTTCCGAATTGATTTTAAAATCCTTTTATTTGTTTTTAAAGCCCTAAATGGGCTGGCTCCGGCCTATATAGCTGAACTCCTCCAGCGCTACACCCCAGCCAGAGCTTTAAGGTCTGCTGACCAGCTGCTGCTGGTAGTGCCCAAGACCAGGCTCAAAACCCGAGGGCACCGAGCCTTCGCAGCAGCTGGCCCCAGGCTCTGGAACACTCTGCCCCTCCATGTGAGGTCGGCCCAGACCCTAGGGGTTTTTAAATCTACTCTTAAGACACACTTTTTCTCCCTGGCCTTCTAGTCAGAGCGGAGCACGACTCCTGACTTTTCCCTGTGTTTTTTTTTTTTAAATATCTGTTGTAATTTATTGTCTTTTATTGTGATTATAGAAATGTGTTTTTATGTGATTGTAGTTATTACATGTACAGCACTTTGGCCCGACCAAAAATCGCTTTTAAATGTGCTTTATAAATAAACCTTGAATTGATTTGATTTATTCTAGTAGACCTCAACAATGGAATTATGATCAGTAGAGATGGCCATGACATGGGACCTTTAAAGGTTTATTGTCATGTCATATACATAATAAATAAAGTGTAGTTATCAGGTGTTTAATAGTCTTATGGTATTTAATTCAAACTGTTTTAATGTTCCTTAATCATCAGAAACTCCTGTTGTTTATAGTTATTAAAGTAAAACAAAGGCATTCATATAAAGATGAAACATAAATGCTTAAAGCTGGTTTGTAATGAATTAAACAAACTCACAGAGATGAGTTTCCTGCTCAGCCCGGATCCACCCTGCGGATCCAGAGGCCTCTTTAGGGAAGGAATACAAAAACATGTTAGTAAGCAAAACAATAATATCATTTTAATATGATCACCAACATAACAAATACTCTGACTTGATTTGTCCAGTTTTCCTCTCAAAGCCTCACCTCGATAATATTACTTCTGACAGGTTTGCGTGTCTTTCTGTTTCCAGAGACGTCCTTCATAAAACTCTCCAGCTGAGACACTGAGTCGAACATTTTCTGTGGAGTCGTGTTGATTGCACACCTTAAAAGATAATAATACAATTTGATTCAAGTAAAACAAGCATACACACAGGTATCATATCACACACACACACACGCATCATCATATCTCACACACACAAGCATCATCATATCTCACACACACAAGCATCATATCACACACACAAGCATCATATATCACACACACACACACACACACACACACACAAGCATCATCATATATCACACACACACACAAGCATCATCATATCTCACACACACAAGCATCATCATATCTCACACACACAAGCATCATCATATCTCACACACACAAGCATCACATCACACACACAAGCATCACATCACACACACACACACACAAGCATCATCATATATCACACACACACACACAAGCATCATCATATATCACACACACACAAGCATCATCATATATCACACACACACACAAGCATCATCATATATCACACACACAAGCATCATCATATATCACACACACACAAGCATCATCATATATCACACACACACACACAAGCATCATCATATATCACACACACACAAGCATCATCATATATCACACACACACACACACACACACAAGCATCATCATATATCACACACACAAGCATCATCATATATCACACACACACAAGCATCATCATATATCACACACACACACACACACACACAAGCATCATCATATATCACACACACACAAGCATCATCATATATCACACACACACACAAGCATCATCATATATCACTAGAGATGTCCCGATCCGATCACGTGATCGGGGATCGGAGCCGATCACGTGATTTTCAAAAGATCGGAATCGGGAGAGAAAAAATCGGGGATCGGGAATTTTTTTTTTTTTTTTTTTAATTATTTTATTTAATGTTACAAAACAAAAATGACCATGTTCACGTCTTAAAGTCATCCTGAGGCCTTAGTTTTGTTTTAAAATTACACAACATCATGTATGTGTTGCTTCTTTTGGGCTTGTTTTCATAGACCTGGTTGCTTATTTCTCTCAAATCTGGCAACAGAGTGGGCAGGGCGCAGTGGCTAATAGTAGCAGTAAGCTAACGAGAGGCTACGTTCAGCTGGTGCCTCGGGAGTCGGGACAGAGAAAATGTCAGGAGTTTGGAAGTATTATAAAATTGAAAGCGAAGGCAGTGTAACAGCCAGATGCAATGTTTGCAAGGCGGAGGTTCCGCGTGGTGGAAAGAACCAGAGATGGAGTACTCGAGTCCTGGACTCGGACTCGAGTCGGACTCGAGTGCCGATTTTCGGGACTCGTGACTCGACTCGGACTCGCGCACTGATTGACGCGACTCGGACTTGGACTCGTGAATTCTCGCACACGATGACTTGGACTCGGACTCGTGAATTATCGCGTACGCTGACTTGGACTCGGACTCGGTCTCGTGAATCTTTCCCCCCACGATGACTCGGACTCGACTTGTACATTGACGCTCCGACTTGGACTCGGACTCGGACTCGAGCAAGTTTTCTATGGAGTCTGATGTCCTCTATCCTGGCGTGTGCACCGGCTGCGAGGCGAGTTCACGTACTGGGCCCCGCTATTCCAGTCTAAAGATGTCTAGAGACACACCCCGCATCGTGCTGTATGCTTTCACACAGTCTGCTTCCACATTGGAAAAGAGCAGCGCAAAATGCTCTATGTGGAAACAATATTGAAGAGAAGGCTCCGTAACACATTACTCTAAGGATCAAGTTCAGACATATAGGCTGTCTTGAACACTATCATCAGAGTAACGTGATCTAATCAATAAATAAAGATTCAGCCGATAACACGAAAGCACATGGCTACTTAACATGCAGAATGACGTCATTTTGCATGTTAAGTAGCCATGTGCTTTCTGGGGCTAAATCTTCATCAGTAAACCGATTTAACGGTAAAAGTTCCTTCAAAATAAGAGTCCCGATCTTATTACTATCAAAATAAAAGTGCAAAACGAAAACTTTACGATAGGAAAATATTGGCATACAAATATAATCACTTCTCTAAAAGGTAACTCATTTTAAACATAGTTTATTTATATATAATAATAATAATATTAATATTAGTAATAAGCTTTATATTTGTATAGCACCTATTACAAGAATTGTAGCCAAACTGGCTTCACAGCAGTTCAATAGACAGATTAGTATAACATGACAGGATAAAAGCAATGTAGAGGAGCAGCTACATTTCAACACATATATCCACGAAGATTAATACATGAAGACTTGTGACTCAGACTTGGACTCTTCTTAGGTGACTCGGACTTGGACTCGGACTCGAACACAGGTAATGATGACTCGGACTCGACTCGGACTTGGACTCGGACTCGAACACAGGTAATGATGACTCGGACTCGACTCGGACACTCCTTGGGTGACTCGGACTTGGACTCGGACTCGAACACAGGTAATGATGACTCGGACTCGACTCGGACACTCCTTGGGTGACTCGGACTTGGACTCGGACTCGGACTCGACTACGACTCTCCCTTGGTGACTCGGACTTGGACTCGGACTCGAAGAGTGGTGACTCGAGAGTGACTTGGACTCGTGAATTGGTGACTTGACTACAACACTGGAAAGAACAGAGCTACGTTCAACACGACCAATCTAATACGCCACCTGAGAAACAAACACCAACAACAACACGACGAGTACACAGCGGCCACTCAGGTAACGGCACTGAAACAACCGACACTTTCAGAGACTTTTAAAAGGAAAGAGAAACTGCCCCAGAACAGTGAAAAGGCCAAAAGAATAACAGCCAAGATAGCTGAATTCATCGCGTTGGATGACCAGCCGTTATCTGTTACCTTTTTTTTCTCTTAATGCATTGCATAAAGATCGGATCGGGAAAAATCGGTATCGGCAGATTGTCAAAATCAAATGATCGGGAGCAAAAAAAGGTGATCGGGACATCCCTATATATCTCACACACACACACAAGCATCATCATATATCACACACACACACACGCATCATCATATATCACACACACACAAGCATCATCATATATCACACACACAAGCATCATCATATATCACACACACACACAAGCATCATCATATATCACACACACACAAGCATCATCATATATCACACACACACACACACACAAGCATCATCATATATCACACACACACAAGCATCATCATATATCACACACACACACACAAGCATCATCATATATCACACACACACAAGCATCATCATATCACACACACACACACACACACAAGCATCATCATATATCACACACACACAAGCATCATCATATATCACACACACACACAAGCATCATCATATATCACACACACACATCATCATATATCACACACACACACACACACACACAAGCATCATCATATATCACACACACACAAGCATCATCATATATCACACACACACAAGCATCATCATATATCACACACACACAAGCCTCATAATATAAAAAACACACACACACATCTAGTGATGTGTCGGTCGCGAACGAGCCGATTCTTTTGAACGGCTCTTTGGTACGAACGAGGGGAACCGAGTCCTACTTGGTGAGAGCCGTTCTTGTTATCGTTCAATCGTTGGTCCGCACTCACTGCCTGCCTTTTAAAAAGCTTGATTTTGTTCTCCAAACGTATTCTGTGAAGACCCTCCCCTACTCTGATTGGTAGGTTTCAGCACGAGGAGTGAGATGGGGTGGGTCTTAACGGAATACGCGAGAGAGAAGTCATAACAAGTGGTACGTACAGGACAGGTAGACGACGTGTTTTTCGGATGGAAAATGAGCCAAACGCGAAAACGGAGCAGCATTTGGATGCACTTCAACCAAAACCCAGGCAGTGATAAAGCGCACCATTTGTAAAGGCAAAATATCCTTTAAAGCAGGGTCAACAAATAATCTCCATCGCCACTTAAAAACACAGTATCTAATATTAAGAGTTGCATGAATTTCATTCAAGGCAAAGCAACTTTATTTACTTAACACATACAGAGGGTAAATTCAAAGTACATTCACTGACATGATGACATGGATATGGCGCCACCTTGTGTCATGTTTACAATGCTGATTATTGACATTAGGTCTGGCAATACAGTCAATCATTATCCTGGTGATTATTTCTCAGATAAACCTAGAAACCCCGCCCCCTTTAAAAAAAACGGCTCTTTGAAAGGAACGGAGCCATAAGAACACACACACACACACACACACACACACACACACACACACACACACACACACACACACACACACACACACACACACACACACACACACACACACACACACACACACACACACACACACACACACACACACACACACACACACACACACACACACACACACACACACACACACACACACACCACACACACACACACACACACACACACACACACACACACACACACACACACACACACACACACACACACACACACACACACACACACACACACACACACACACACACACACACACACACACACACACACACACACACACACACACACACACACACACACACACACACACACACACACACACACACCTTTTTCTTGAATAATAATTATTTGTGAAGTGTAATTTATTTAAATGACACTTCATTTTTTCACTGCTCTTTCCCGTTAGCCAGCTACAACGGTTTTTTTCAAGTCTCTCCTGAGGCACATTTATGCTGCTTTAGTCAAGATCATTGTACATATTTTATACAAATATCCTTATTTTTGAACTTGTGGTGTCATATTGTCCGTCCTTTTCCCAGGGAGGAGCTCCGTCTCCCTTTGACAGAAACTTTGGCACTAAAGTAGCCGCTAAAGCCGTTCAGTGGATCTCACGGACGCTCAAGGACTTTAAGCAAAATCCACATGTTCATGTCTTTTATCAACATGTGTCCCCTCTGTGGAAAGACTCTGAAAGTTTCAGGAACAAAGATTCTCTCTTATATAAAAACCTGTCTGAAAATGAGCTGATCAGATTTTGGCCACTTTATGTCATGATTTGTTGGCTTGTGTAACCATTAGCCAATCAGCAACCAAGGTAACCCCCCCCCCCCCCTTATCACCTGCATCTCCTCCTAGAGCACCATTGAGTTCTTTGTAACCAAATCTCTCTCAGAGGGGCGGATATCAGCAGGTATACCCTAATATGAACCCACCTCATGTTGTCGGGGTTCAGAAGATGTGTTTTGATCCTCGGTAGAATCCGGATGACTTGACTAAGGTCTGACATCTCTGCTATCTTCTTCATAAACTTCACCTGACGATCAAACAAAACACAAAACAGCTGTTTCACAAACTGCTGGCACTCAGAAACAGGTAGAAAAATAGAACAGAAAACAAACAAAACTGTCTTGCATAAATAAAATGAAAAAGCCCAATTCCGAGGTAAATATCATCACAGGTAAAAAGGACCAATCATTACATCACATTTAGGTGATGCTTTCATAGGGTAAACCCCTAGGGGTACGTTGGAGTACTGCCAGGGGTACGTGAGATTTATTTTATGTTAATGAAAAAAACAACATAAGTAATGCATTTAAACAAACTAATAGTAGATGAACTACTTTATTCAAACGTTTACAGTAATTCTGGATAATAAAATGGGGAAAATAAACGGGGTGCTCTCTTTTCCTCTCCCTCTCCTGACAGCCCGTCAGTCTCGTGCAGCTCGCTTAACCTGTAAACCCGACAGTAAAGAATAAATATATTTCTTATAACTAGTTTAGCTTGTTCCAGAGTAGATAAACTAGCTAAGTGGGTTAGGTCTAACTCTTAGTGTATTTTGCTCCGCTTAACGGTCCGTGACAGCGGGGGAGCAGTGATCCGGAAGAGCTGCGTGTTCTCCGCCAGCAGCAGCTGATCTGATCTCTGATCTCTCTCTCGCGTCCGGGTATACTTCACTCACGTTTATGTCCAAATCTATCAGATCTAGCTAGTTCTGGCTAATTATATGACTGCCTGCTTATCAAAGGTCCTAAACAATAAGCGTTGCTTGGCAACGGCGTGTGGCCGCAAAGTATAGCGCAGCATTATGCATATGTTTATATGAGGGGTCAAAATCCCATGCTCATAAAATGCTCATATTTTTTTCTCTTCATTCCCCACGCCCCAAAATAAATAAATAAATAAATATACCAACTTTAAGAAAAGTAACGAAGTTTGAGCAGTGTGGGTTTTATATTAACAGTTACACATATTTCAAAACGCGAAGTGTAATAACTGCAGTTTGCCTCCCTGTCAGAATGACAAAGATCCTCAGTGAAGCACAAGCCCATGTTTCTCACTACATTGTAAGAACAACTTATTAAAAAGATCAGTTCAATGCAACTAACTTCGTCTTAGTGTTATCGCATGATATTAAAATTGGTTTGCCATGAATTTAGTGATGGATTGTAAACATTTGAAATGTAGCATTTAAGTGTTTCTCAGTTACAAGGTTGTTGTTTTAATAAATCAGACACGGTGGTGCAGCGCTGTACTGTACCTCTTTATATAGGCTTTTTGTCCCTAACTAATAGTTTTTGCGCTGATCAGGGGGTACTTGGCTGATTTTCTTTTTCAAAGGGGGTACATTATTGAAAAAAGTTTGAGAACCACTGGGGTAAACCTTTATTGATTACCTTCAGGTGACCGACCAGCAACAGCAATATATCAAAGCGACTAAAAATAGGTTAAATATACAATAAAATAATCCTGCAGCTACATTAGCTTTCTAAGAGCTAGAGACAGAAGGGAGATATATCTTTTTGTATATACCTGCTCCATCCCTCCGAACGTCTCCTGCAGATCTCCAGATGGAGTCAGGTGTCTGCATGCTCGAGTCATGGCGTACATGTGACCGGAGTAAGCGATCCCATTGGCTAACTCCTGCGCTGACATCATCACCAGCACTCTCAGGCGCTCCTCATCGTCAAAGTGGGGGCTGGAAGGGAAATATTGACTTATTTTAATAAGATAAGATGTACCTGTACGAGGGTCTTAGAACAGCAAACTCCCTTGAAATCTTTAAAAGCAAATTAAAAACCTATATTTTTTATTATGGCTTTTAATTTGGGTTAACTTTCAATTCTCACTGGCATCACTGTCCATGTTTTACTATATTTTATTTTGCTTAAACAACATATGAAGCAGGATATTATATATACAAAATAAATACTAATAGAGAGGCGAAGTCCCTCCCTTTCCGGGGGACCTCCATGGGACCTTATTTCGGAAAAAGTATGTATTGAAGTCAATGGCGAGAGAAAGATTATCTCTCGATCCCGTTTGAATTGAGCCACGAATTACACATACTGTATGATGTTTGTCAATTTAAAAGATAATTTTGCAAGTCAAAAAAATCAAACTGTGAAGTAACACATTTTTTTGTGTGAAACCGCTCAATGAACTACATCTCCCGTCTCGCACCACACACCAAGACGGCCGTCACGTTGGCACATTTCACCTCTTTCTTTCAGAATGAGGTGAAAAGTATTAAAAGAGGTGAAAATCACTCCAAGTCTGGGCATGTTGAGAGCTGTACATACACACAAGGGGAGTTAGTCGGTTCCTAAGAGCCAGCATGCGGGACCGGGACTCTGGGATTTGTAGTCTTTCTAGTTGCGTATTTTTCATAGTCTTATATTTCAACAGTTTTACAACAAACTGTGACTTTTTTGACATGGAAAATATTATTTAAGATTGACAAACATCATGTGTGTAATTCATGGCACAATTCAAACGGGATCGAAAGATAACCTTTCTCTCTCCATTGACTTCAATACATACTTTTTCCAAAATAAGGTCCCATAGAGGTCCACCGGAAAGGGAGGGACTTCGCCTCTCTATAGCATATTTAGATGCCTGTGATATGACGAGTTGGAGGACGTACCTGTTGAATGTGTCGCTCCACAGCTGAAACATGTGAGGGAGGTTCCTCTCCAGGCAGGAGGAGAACAGGAGGACTCCCTGAAACAGAGACAATCAGAGACTTTCTTCACTGAGCTAAGGGCGTTAATGTTGGGCTTGATGACGTTTAGTCGTCTCTTTTAGACACTTGTTAGCAACCGCTGTTTTTAAATTCACCAGTGGGGTATTTACTGATGTTACTGATTTTAAGTCTTGTCTTCAGCTTGTTTTAACCACGGACCTTATGTCAGGCTCACAACGAAAAACACATTCAGAAAAACATCGAGAAAGTGCTTGATTATGACTCAGTTCCGGGGTTTAGGACTCATTCCTGCACCACTCTATAGCCTGGGAACAGGAAGCCTAACTGGTCAGAATTGCTATAGTTTGCATGCAGCTGGATACCCATATCAAATCAGCATCAACAGTGGGTTTCCTGTAATACTTTATAGGATTTTGTTACAGTAGCAGAAGCACCTAATGAAAGAAAATATTCAAAAACTCACGAGGGAACAGAAGGTGCTAAAGTGCTAACTCATTTCCAGGTTTAGGACTCATTCCTGCACCTCTCCATAGGCTGAGACCTGGGAGTCACACTTAATCTATATATACTTATTTTCAAATGTGCGTGTGTTTGTTTTTTTAGCAAGACACATATATAAAATCAGCTAAATTGACACTAATTGGCTTTACTGATTTTTTAAGTAACAGATAAGGTGAACCCTGACCTGCTCGTACATGTCCAGCTGGGCGGAGTCAGAGGAGACGTGAGGAGAGACGGACATCCCCCCCGTCCTCAGCTCCTTCTGCTGAGACTGCTGCCTGTAGTCCAGACCTCCACAGCCCATCCTACACACACACACACACGCATCCAGAATTAAAAGTGCAAAAGACACAAACAACGACAGTCTATCCATCTCAATCGTATCTAAATTCTTATGCTATTATATATATATATATATTCTGTGGTGTTACGCACTGACAGATGGACTCACTTTGTGACGACGCTGCAGAACAGCGGCACGTAGAGCCTGAGTTCCTCTGGCAGCGTGTTGAGGCTGCACATCGCTCTGAAGTACACCAGGCCGTTGGTCGGCTGCTCACAGAGCTGCAGAGGGACGCCTCCTGAAGGGGGGGGGGGGGGGGGGGGGGGGGGGGGGGGGGGGGGGGGGGGGGCATGGAGATATTATTAAACACTCCTTACGGGTGATAACAAGGCCAAAAGGTTTTATTATCAAAATGCACAATAGCTAGTAGTAATGGCAATGAAAATCTGAAGTCCCAGTATCCTCAAATGATACTATTACTAAGAAATAAAATGAAAAAAAGGGCAAGAAATGTAAATTAAAATAATGTTAAATTTAAATTAAGCCAATACAAAAGCAAAATATTTTAAATTGAAATAATATTTAGTAAAAATGAAGCCAAAACACTGTAAGAAAAAGCAGAAATAAGTAATATTGATATAGTCTGTGATGCAAGGGACAGTGTACCTGCGGTGCTGATCTGAACGGGCGTGATGGGGATGGTCAGTTCGATGTCCGACACTTTGAGCGCCGGCAGGCAGGAAGCATCCTGAGTTTTACTCTGAGCGGCCAGCAGCTCCAGACCTGAGAAATAAAAACACCAAACACTGTGATATCTCTCAAATTAAAAGAGCCTTAAATTACATTCTGGTTTAGTCCCACACTTTCAGGGAATAAGAAATATTTCAGCGGTAATACTGGTTATATCCCAGAGGCTGACCATATATATATTTATCACACCAAGAAACTCAATCTTACAGACAAGAAAACATATTCACACACACAGAAACATTGAGCTTTCCGAAAACTAATTCCCTAAAGAAATGTAAAATATTTAAAGGGGACCTATCATGCAAAATGCACATTTGTACGTCTTGTATACATGAATATGTGTCCCCGGTGTTCCAGGGAACTCACCAAGTGCTACGGCTATTGGGCCAACTCCACCAATCAGGAGGAGACAGCCACGGCCATTGCCGTTCGAAAGCGCTGGAGACGCTGTAGTACATATGCCAGGCCAGTAGATGGTGCCTTATATAAGTATGGTCCTATACTATATTATTCAAATATAGCATGATAGGTCCACTTTAAGATAACTTTTTTCCCCAACCTGACTAAACCTGACTGATGACACACGTTTAGATCCAATTGCCTTAATCACTGTTTTTTGTAAAGTAATTTGAAGTGCATTGTTGTTAAACAGTGCTAAATAAATACTGACTACTTTCTAAAGTCAATTGACATGATAGCAGTCTCTGTAAATTATTGTATCTGTGTCTAGGCCTTTTTAAAGATCAAGGAGTGGTAAACTAATCAAAACACCTCATAAAATCATGGTTCAGGTGAAAGGGGAAAAGTGTAATAACTCAAACATTATGCACGTAGTAGATTGCTTGAGCAAGTCACCAATAAAGCTCTTTTTCCTCTACCCATTTGGATGTAATTCAGTGTTCAGGGCAGTGATCTTACAATAGTGTTAAAGTATTGTTGTTCATTGACTAGGTCAGTTATTAAATTCAATTCAATGGAAGGCTATATTGTTATTTGCACATTAGCTACAGTGTAGATATGGCAATGAAAAACTTAGGTCACAAGCTCCTCCAATAGTGCAACATCATATGTGACCTGCTCTATCGAAATCAGTCGCATTGACCCGAAGACACATTTTGAGTTGTATACACTGTTGGAAAGAGGAGATTCCTGGCTTTCTAATGATATCAAGATTGTTTTTGTACTCCAAATATTAAGCAAAATATGTCACATTATATAATGACTGTCACCGAGTCATCATTTTGAGAAAAAGGCCTTCAAAGTTTCCTCTTCTCTGGAATCCATCGATCTGATTGATTATTAGCGGAGCAAATGATCAAAATAGTCCGGAGGGAAAATATTTCCGTTTGGATTACTGGTCTGGGGGAAGCTCGCGAGTGTGTGTGTGTGTATGTATGTGTGTGTGTGTTTGTGTATTTTTGCGTTTGTGTATATTGTGTTTGTTTCCCGGGGAAAACACTCACGAGAAACACCGGCTGTTGTTATGCTTGCTGTGACGTTAAATTACTCCGTTCTCCGCTTATAACTATGCCGTTACAAGCTTCATAGTTGTATTTATCATCTAAATTTGCCGAAACAAGTTTAATATTCTGAAAGCCAAGACTTTGTTTATTTGAAATCAGATGAAAACAAACTGTAACGGACCCTGCCGTGTTATCTATGATTACTATATGCCTTACATACATAATTTCAGCCGGAGGGAGGGGGGCGGCGCTGCGGAAGAGCAGATTGCGAGTGAGAGGTGCCTGTCATCTTCCCTTCACAAGCTTCACAAATGTATTTATCGTGTGATTTTGGAAATAAAAGTTTCATATTCTGAAAGCCAAGACTTTGTTTATTTAAAATCAAACAAAACACCCGAACCCCGAAAAAATAGTTTTTTTTATGCAAATCCACGTTTATTTTGAAATGAGCCGTTGCGACTTCCGACTGATTTCGATAGAGCGGGTCACATATATAGGACATAGAACAAATAAAACAGATGAAGAGAAAACTCCCAACACACACCGAGCAGTGAAATGGTTTGTTACCTTTCTCATAGATCTCCTTCCTGTCGCTCTCAGACAGAGCCTGGATCTTCTTCTGCAGTTTCTCCTCTTCTGCCTTTGCCTGTTTCTCCACGTACGTTTCATCTGGACTCATAGAGAGGGTCAGTCTGTGTGTGTTCTCCTGCATTTAAAGAAAACAAACATGCATTGGCTTTAAATCCTAAGATAGATAGATAGATAGATAGATAGATAGATAGATAGATAGATAGATAGATAGATAGATAGATAGATAGATAGATAGATAGATAGATAGATAGATAGATAGATAGATAGATAGATAGATAGATAGGTAGATAGATAGATAGGTAGATAGATAGATAGATAGGTAAGATAATCTAATATCTAAACGTCCTCATTATCCTTCACAGTCCAACAAATAAAGATATGAGGCTGCTGCTGCATGCTCCATTTATTCCTCCGCCATCATCTTGCAACTCTACGCATTCATACAAACACGATGTATTCACCTTGAAGTAGTGTTTGACTTTGTCCTGCAGGAAGCGAGGGTTTTCCTTTAGAGCCTTTCTGAACTGTGTGACGCTGTCGCTGATCTGCAGCAGCTCCACCGGGTTACCGTCATGATTCCACGACGACGCTATGTACTGGAAACACACAGGTATAATGTCAAGAGGGATGAAAAAACATGTAACAACAGCAGCACTGAAAAAAATGTATTGGAAAAACAATTAAGATTCAGATTCAACTTTATTGTCATAACGAAAAGGAGTTTGGCATCTGACCAGAAGTGCAAAATAGCAATGCAAGTGTCTATATCAGGGGTGTCAAACTCAAGGCCCGTGACTTCATGTTATGTGGCCCCACAAGAGCTTGCAAAGAATATAGTAATAATTCCTTACATTTATTAAAGCGCTTTACAAATACACATTACACACATGTAACGGTCAACGGCTATACAGACGCAGCGGGTTTCGAACTGGTGTTCCCCAACGCCCCCTTGATCTGATGATCAACGCACAGCCCACTGCGCCACTCCGCCCATCTTCACACCTCAAAGTCATCAAGGCGCTTTACAAGTACACATTACACACATATCATACATGTAACGGTCATGTACTGTGGACAGTACCCACAAGAGCACATTCGGGTGAAGTGTCTTGCCCAAGGACGGCCTGACGCAGTGGCGGCGGGGGCGGGTTTCGAACTGGAGTTCCCCAACGCCACCCTTGATATATAGTATGTTTATTTTACGGTTACATGCCGATTTACAGAAGCAAGTTGCCCATAAACTACATGTCCCACAATGCATCTCAAATTTGACATTTTTCTCAGAATCTGACTTTTCTTCCAAGATTTTACTTTTTTTCAAAATTGTTACTTATTTATTTTTATTTTGACTTTCTTTCCAGAATTTGGCTTTTCTTTTCAAATCATTTTGTGACATTCTCACTGAAGAGACTTGCAATTATTTGCCCTAGACTTCTGCTTTCAGATGTAGTTAATTATGAAGTTATTACTTCTACACAACTCCCGTGTAGTCAGAACTCTGGCTCTTGACATGTCTTGTGAATTCTCCGGCCGATACTCCAAGTAAACCATCAGTGTTTGACATCAAAGCTCCAGCTCTCCTCGTGTCTCCTTTGAGTCCTGACTCCTCCATTGCTACAGGTTCGAGCCCCACAGCAGTCAGCATGTGACATGTAATGTAATCTACCTTCATATTTAAACATTGCACTGATGAAGGTCTCTGAATTTAAAATGTACCGATCATGGAGGTTCATTCATACATGAAGGCTCAATCCCAAACCACGCCCTACACACTACCCCTACGTTTTGCGCGGAGGGTCCGCCACATTAAGGCGTTGTGCACACGGGAACGTTTGCGTTTATGCACAGTATGCGTATTCAAAAAAGTCTTCCGTTCACATGCATTTGTTTCATTTAACGTGTCTGTTCAAACGAGACCGCTGGAAACGCTGTAGTACATATGCCGGGACTGTAAGTGGCGCTGTAACTTCCGCCACAAAATACACCAAAAGCCGCGAAGAAGACTCCGGAGCAGCCCCGCAGCAATGTTGCCATGGCTACCCTTCTGTTTATGCCCCGCGGTGTATTTAGCAACATGTAGTTCATGTAATTCTCCATGTCCACTTGTTGCTGATGGTTGTGGTAGAGGAGCGGTAGATTTTGCACTAATATCTGTAGCATGGTCAGTAGCAGTAGCACTAGCAGTAGCTACTGACAGGAGGAAGTGTGTGTGGTGATTGCTGGTATTCAGCGGGATATAGTCATTTCCTCAGCATGTAAATATATGGATAAATGCAACGGGGAAGTTAACTGAAAGAAACCGAATCTGTGGATATTGCATCGACCGACCAAGAAGCACGTCTCCGTGGAGAGGACGCGCTCAGAAAGAGAGATATTCTCTACAAACACCGGGTGAGATCGCTCCTCTGGGACACGCCGGTCCTCGTGTTTCCTTTTTTTGTGTGGATTATAAACATTTCTCTTTTTGCCGCCGACGGGCGCAGGAGCAATGAACAATAATGGCCTGGATTAGGCAGTAAAGACAATTTTGGTGTATCGCAGAGCGGACTGTTTAATTTTGTTTGTGTTGTTTGGCTGGAAAATTGTCAATATAATGGATCAATGCATGAAATCTGACTCTGTTTATTTTGTTTAAGGAGTATATTGGGCGTTAACAATTCTGGTTTGCCTTTTATAATATTATTTCATTCAAGAACCCCTTGTGCGTTTAATTAACACAGCTATTTTTGATAGTTGATCGTTACAGATGGCTACTGGCCATGCTACAGCAGTGAGCAGGAGAGGTGGGGCTATCGTTATTTTTTCAGGAAATATTCGTATAGAGGCGATTACACGGACTCGGTTGACCCCCCAGAGCGTTTCGTTTGCAAATCTATCCACCTTGGGACCCGTTATCGTTTGTGGGGTCCGTTTCTATCGGCCTCGTGTAAATAATAGGGCTATACGCACGCGAAACTATGCAGATACAAGCAGTTTTGTCCTCGTGTAAACGGCGCCTAAGTGCTGTTCCAAACCAACGAGTGGGCTATCAAGCCCTCAAACAGCGAGTCTGCATCGGTGCTGACTTCACCTGCTGCCCTACCTGACCGGTCTCTACCTGACCGGTCTCTACCTGACCGGTCTCAACGCTGTGTGTGTCCGTCAGGAAACACGCTGTTTACAAACAGTTCCAGCAAACATCCACTGATAAACTGCGATGTTAACAACCTCATGATAACCTCATATTTTTTTTACTCAGGATCATACAGTACCTGTGTTTAGTCTAGAAAAAGGTAAATGTGTGCATTTTATTATAAAGTTGTGTATATTTACAGACTGTTGCAAAAACTAAGAAGCTTATAAACATCAGGTTTAAAACTAAAAGAGCTTTACCAAAAAGTAACACAATGAAAGATGTTTGGAGTTTTATTTGAGTTCTTAATTTGTATGTTTTGTCTGAGAGATGCTGATTTGAAACCGTTGTTACATACAGTTACGGAATTTCCTGTTTCTGCCGGAGAGAGGGGAGTTTGTCCCAAAGCTTGCCGCTGTATTTACTCCATCTGACAGGAAGGAGCCTCGTTGAGCTGCGAGTGTCACTCCGTCACGGAGGGGGAGTGTGTAGGGGTAGGGTGTAGGGCGTGGTTTGGGATGGGGCCGAAGTGTCTTTTCGGTTATGAAAACAAAATGGAGGTCACAGAGAAAGTGAACTCACCGAGGCCAGAGAGAGGCCGAAGTTTGTGGACTGGTGTTTCATCTGGATCTCGATCTTATGGAGCAGACCCTCGATCCTTTCCGCCTCAAAGCCTTTCCTGTAATGGATTATAAATGGGGAGTGGGTCAAGTTGTTCTATTAAATACATTTATTAAAAGGACTGCTCTTAAAGCCTTTTAGCCTGCTTTACAACCACCTTTAATAACTGCTCAAGACCACTTCTAACTATTTAATTTGCAAATCGCAGACACAGAGCTGCCAGGAACATACTTGTTAATATCACCCATCAAACAAAGCAGTACACAGTATCAAACAGAAAGTCAAAAGTCACTATTGTATGCTTAAAGGGGACCTATCATGCAAAATGCACGTTTGTACGTCTTTTATACATGAATATGTGTCCCCGGTGTTCCAGGGAACTCACCAAGTGTCAGAAAACACAACCCTCTCTATTTTCCTCCATACCCAAATCTCTAAAAAAGGGGCTGCAACAGATCTGATAAAAACTGATCCAGATTTGAACACTGTCCTGACGTCAGGACGGTGGCGCTACGGCTATTGGGCCAACTCCACCAATCAGGAGGAGACAGCCATGGCCATTGCCGTTCGAAAGCGCTGGAGACGCTGTAGTACATATGCCAGGCCTCTAGGTGGTGCTGTTCTCACTGAATCTGCCCTTGCTAAAACAGAGCTAACGTTTTTCAAATTGAGCGAAATGAGGCATGGCTAAAATGCATGATCTGTTTGGTATTTTGAAAAAAAAAAAAGTATAAATATGCCTTATATAAGTATGGTCCTACACTATATTATTCAAATATAGCATGATAGGTCCACTTTAAGTGATTAGTAGAAATACTGAAAGGACCTTAAGTGGTGACTTTTTGACTACAGATGGGGTCCAAAACTAGCAAGCCACATGAATGTCTGGGAGCAAATTAATTTTATATGCTACACAAATACGGCCAGGATCCGTTGAATTTTCTGAATATTGGGTTGCAGATTGGAATTGTCGAAAGGGGGGTTCGTTTAGCATGAAACACTTGAAATAACTAGTGTTGCCTTGCCTTACACATTGAATGTAAAGCTATGAAACACAAACCATAGCCCCCGATGTGACTGGTACTCACTCTATAATGTCATCGATGGTTTCACGGATGATCTGTTTCACCCTCTCCGTGTCTTCCTCAGCCATCCCCTGCAGACCGATGCTGAACGACGCCTCTTTGGTGCTGCCATCATATCTGTACACATAAAAACACACTTTCAAAACGCTTGTATGTGGGATTAATAAAGTATAGATTAGATTCCTTTTATTCTCACTACACAGAGTACAGCGAAATTCCAAGCATTCCCGATACATAACAGACAGTATAAGTATCATTTTGACAATACAAGCTAAACATTTTAATATATAAATTGGACCTATGATACATTGAACAGTACGCTTACAGAACAATATAACATTACCATACAATTACAAGAGCAATACGGTCAAGGCAGTAACAAATGATGAATATATCTATCCATCTCAGCTTTAAGGTGCCGCCTTGTGAACATAACTGATGAATAAATAGTCTGATAAACAAGTTTTCAATTGAACACCCTGTCCGTTTATTCCCTGTTACTGTAATGACGCTATTAAACTATGGAGAAATCAGCTTTTAAATCGGCATACAAAATAGGATATTCGAAAACATAACAACCAAGCTTCAGCAGCCAGATGTTGTGGAAGCGTGTGTGTGTGTGTGTGTGTGAGGTCAAAAATGATTGACCTATCAGAACCTCTGAATTAACAAACATTGGTTCCTACTGAAATCACAAGCACTAATTAGCTCTCAACAATATATGAATGAATATGTATACATCCGATGAGTTGTTGTCAATTAGTTAGCTTTCAAAGTCAACCAGTGAAATCAAACTGTAACTGATCCAATTTAAGTAGAAAGCCGTTTTGCTGTTGTTATGTTAGTAGAATAGAATATAACTTTATTGTCATCATACAAAGTACAACGAAATGTCTTTGGCAACTCTGACTGCAGTAAAAAATAGACACAATAAATAAGTGGAAAAAGCAGAGGTAGTAGCGATGACAGTGCAACGAGATACAATTCAATGTGCATATTTACACTTTTATATATTATGAAAATAGCCATGTCTAAATAGTAGTGCTAGTTGTACTCACCCTGCGACAGAGGAGAAGTCGGTCCCTATGTTGGGTTCGATGAGAGCTTTGTAGAACGGAGAGTTTGGTCCAGACATCATGAGAGAGGACAGCAGGCTGAGAGTGAACCCTTCAAACGTGTCCGTGATGCTGCAGAGGAACCAGGACGTTAAAAAGCAAACTCAAAGAATCACTTTTTTTAAGAGGAGAAGTGGCATATATAAGGTATTTCTATTGAGGAAGAAACCCCTAGAAAAGCTGTCAAAAGACTGGCGTTTTAGTCAAATTCAAAATAAACAAGCCACTGCTCTTAGTTTGTGGTTTCTGACCCGCTTCAATTAGATTCTTAACAAATGCGGGGATCTATTCATTTTTTGCACTGATCAATATATATTTGCTATCCATGCAGGCATCAAACAAACTGACATAAACCTGATCTATCCAAAGAAATTACAAAAACAACTTGCATAATAATTCTAGGCGAGTATTAAAAAGGTTAATATACAAGACTAATCCTGTTAAAGTAAAAATGTCTCCAAGACTATACAAACCACTGATAACAAGTCTCAAACTAACAGATCAGGAGAAACAGAGGAAGCAGTATCTGTGGAATATCATAAATGCCGTCCTACCAATGTCTCTGTGAAAGACAGGAGGAAATCTAAAGAGACAAAGTGTCCTTACTCTCCCAGCAGGAAGCTCACACACAGCGTGTCCTGCCTCTTTGGATCTGGAGCCATGGCATCAGGGCCGCAGGTCACATGGTCTTCTCTCTGGGGGGGAAAACCACACAGATTATTGAACGTATTTCCACTTGTAAATTATAAAACAATAGAACTATGCAAGTGAGAATTTAATACATGGTGGGTTTTAAAATAAATGATTCAATTCTTAGTATCTTAACACTCTAATACAGGGGTGTTCAAACTACGGCCCGGGGGCCAAATGCGGCCCGCGGACCGTTTTGAATTGTTCCAAATTCAAAAAGTATAATGGAGAATGGCGCACAAATGAAACTTGTGCTTGTCTTATATTGTACTTCTTAAATGTAAAAATATATTACACAGTAGTATTCATGTGTTAAGACCACTTTTCTAATAAAATCAGTCAATTAAAGTTGGAAATATTTTCTAACATATTGATAAGAAAAAAGTCCAATTACTTATTTACAAGAAGCTTGAAATATACCCTTCCTATTTCCTTATTATAATCAATCTGAGGATTCTGTTTTAAGGGATGAGCTGCCAACACTCACAAGCATAGTTTACTTACATTTGATTGATTTTGCTAACTTATAACTGAACTTATGAGGCGATATAACTCTAGTGAGCGGCCCAGCCCTTCGTATATTTTTCTGTATGTGGCCCTCGGTGAAAAAGTTTGGACACCCCTCGTTTAAATGATTACATTCTTAGTATCTTAACACTGTAATATGTGTGCGTTGTGAGCTTACAGGGCTGCTCCAGTGTGGCTGTGACGGGACCTCTGTGTTCGGGTTGATGCGCTCAAACCTGGACAGAGCTTCCTCTTCGATCTGCTTCAGATGCTGCTCCAGAGGCAGATCTCCATATGTGAAGAACCTGAAAGACGTATTTAAGACTCTCTCAGTGTGTGTTCTCATTTCTGTATGCGTCACTTAATGGTTTAGCTTGATTTAGGCCCCATTTACACGGGAACGCAAACAAACCGAATTCGATATCAAAAAAGTCTTCCGTTCACACGGATACGGCTCAAGAAACGTGTCCCTTCCCACGAGACCGCTCGACCCGCTGGAGACGCTGTAGTACATATGCCGGGCCTGTAAGTGGCGCTGTACTTCCGCCACAAAATACACCAAAAGCAGCGAGCATGGTTGGCATGGTTGCCTGGTTGCCCTTCTGTTTATTCTCTGCGGTGGATTTAGCAACATGCAGTTCTCCATGTCCACTTGTTGCTGATGGTTGTGGTAGAGGAGCTGTAGATTTGCACTAACATCTGTAGCATGGTCAGTAACTACTGACAGTAGCTACTGACCATGCTACAGCAGTGAGCAGCAGAGGTGGGGAGAGGCGGGGCTATGTCTTCATCGTTATCAGGAAATGATCGTATAGGACGTACACACGGAGCCGTTTGGCCCCCCAGAGCGTTCCGTCCGCAGGGGTCCGTTTCCGCGGTTCCGTTACGGCCTTGTGTGAACGAACGGGCTATACGAAAGAGAAAAGTAGCGGATACAACCCGTTTCGTTCCCGTGTAAACAGCACCTTAAGCTAATGGACATGCAGGAGTTTTGCTGTAAGAGTTTGCATCTTCATGGTTGATTGCATTAATTGTAATAATAATAATAATACATTTAATTTTATAGCGCTTTTCCTAGTGCTCAAAGACGCTTTACATAAAATCGGAAACGGAAAACAGTACAAAGACAAAATAACATAAACAGTATTCCTAATCTAATGTGATGCATGTGTTTGTTTTATTGTATAATTATTAATTATAGTTAATAGGATTGTGTTATAACATGCATGTAACATTTTGAAAGCAGCATGGATACTGTCCTGTAATGACAACACATGAGTTTATTTATAAGAAAGATAATACATATTAGTTTTCCTTTATATGATGGATGATTAGGGGAATGGTCTGACACTGTTTCAAAGGTTTTTCTGACACCATAACATGGGATTATGCTGTAAACTTCAAAGTACATTTCAGCTATCCTGCTATAAAACACATGTTTCTGTTGTTTTCTAAGCTGTGTGCGTGTGTGTGTGTGTGTGTGTGCGTGTGCGTGTGCGTGTGCGTGTGCGTGTGCGTGTGCGTGTGCGTACCTGGCGTTGCTGGGGTGGTAGTGTGTGGCGTGGAACTGTTTGAGTTGCTCCCAGGTGAGGTCGGGGATGTCGAGCGGCTCTCCTCCCGACACCACAGAGTACGTGTGGTCCGGAAACAGCTTGTTCTGGAGGTGCTGCGCGTACACGCGCTCGTTTTCTGACTGTAGGAACACACAAAAAATACAAGAGATCATCAAATATCATCTACAAATATTGTGTCTGTTCTTGCTTTCCTTGTGTAGCCTTGCTTTTTTGAGGTCATTTTGTTCAAGGAGAGCCCAATATTATTGTTTTTAATAGAGGTTAGAGAGTGATTCATTACATTTAAGTATGACATGTTTAAGTTAAAGCACCTTACTTACCTCTGTGTGTAAAAACAATGAGATCATTATAGAGAAGGGATAATTTCTATGCATATAAAATGTGAATAACAGTGATTGTTGACTTACAAAAGCGCCCTTCATCTCATTGAACACGACTCCTTTAAACACCAGAGGGGTGCTGACATCTTTGGGGTCTTCATGCTCCAGCCTCCAGCCCTCCTGCCTGCAAAATAATCAGATCAGTGTGAAGGTTACAGACCTGCAAAGTGATATTTGCTAGCTGCAAGTAACCTGGCTGTTTATTACAATCACAAGTAAGTCATTTAAAGGGGACCTATCATGCTAAATGTACTTTTTGATGTCTTTTATAAATAAACATGTGTCCCCGGTGTGTCGGGGAACTCACGCAGCATCAGAAAATAAAACCCTCTCTCTTTTCCTCCGTACCCAAATCTCTAAAAACGGGGCTACAACGGAGCTGATCCAGATTTGCGTCCGATATGACATAATATCTGAAATGTGGACCCACGGCACTATCAGAAAGTTGCTATCAGAAACAATGGCCGACTGTTTTGGACGTAATATGGTCGGTGTTTACATTAGCATCGCTAACACTCAGAGCTAACCTGTACTGGAGAGCATGTGTGTGAAGAAGCAGGAAATAAAAAGGAACTCACCTTGTGGTATAACCGGCAAGAGAGAAAGCCTTTGAGCTCCATACTGTTTCAGAAATAATCCTTGATAATCCATGATATGGCGTTTCATCACGGCAGTATTTAGTTTAGACAGTAGCTGCCGGGTCCCGCATGAGCTCAGACCCCTCCTTTTTTACTTTTTATCAATTTCCTTTATTTTTTTAAAGCTTTATACCCAAAAATCAGCACTTTAGAAACAGGAAGTGAAATAGAGGGATATGAGGCATGGCTAGAATGGGTGATCTGTTTGGTATTTTGAGCAAAACACTTCATAGACATGTGTTTTATATATTTCTATATATCTGAGACCTATGCTATTGCCTAAAAATAGCATGATAGGTGACCTTTAAGTTAACTTTGTGTACCTGTTGTATGGAATAACACATCAGTTTGAGCATTGTGACGTTGCAACCATAGTCAAAACTCACCAGAAATCCTGCTCTCGTAAACAAGGGAAGAAAACTGCATCCAGATACACCGAAAGAAGATTCTGGAAGTCTTTCCCATTTTGTGTTGAGAACGGATACATGGTGTAGTCACTGGCTGCAAAACAACAAACAAACAAACACATAAACAGTCAGGCATTTAAGAAACAACCAACCCTAAAGTTTTTTTTCTTCTCATATTTGAAGTAAAAAAAGAAGGTACCTTTTCATTTAAATAATCAAAACAATACATCAATTCTACAAGAATGCACGAGCAAAGGGACATAATGTAAACAATAGCAACAAGTGTAGCATATGTGTAAACAACAGACACGTTTACTGTACTTTTACATGTAACCACTCTCATTTGTAATACTTAAATCACCATATTAAAACGTAAAGAAGTCTAAACATAATACATGGGACGACTAAACCTCTGGTAAACTCAAAACTTCAGCTACGTGAGCTTCGCTAACTCCTTTGCTCACAGACTCGGAGGTCAGTGTGTTTTTCTCCGTACCGGTGAAGGCGTTCATGAAGGTGGACAGGGAGCGTGTGAGCATCTTGAAGAAAGGGTCTCTGCACGGATACTTCTCAGACCCACACAGCACCGTGTGCTCCAGGATGTGAGGGACCCCGGTGCTGTCCATGGGGGTCGTTCTGAGCTGGACACTGAAGAACAAAAACAAGAACAAGAAGCATCACATTTATAGAATAGAATAGAATACTTTATTCTCATTATACAGGTACAATGAGATGAGTAGAGCTAATCCTTTTTTTACGGTGCCGTCAAAAATATTAAAAAAACAAACAAGAGACGTACAACACTCGGGAGAAGACAACATACAAACAACAAGCGTTCATACTTCAATATGCAGAAGTTAAAGTGCAGGAATATATCGGTTTTAAAGCTCCCATGTCATGCTTTTCCGGTTATTACCCGTCCCCTTGTGTGTTATGAAGGTTTTTATGCATGTAAACGGTGTGCAGAGTCAAAACCCTCAAAGTACACCCTGTAGCGAGTAAAACTCTAACACAGAAAATACCTCCCCAAAACGCCTCGTTGGAGATACGTCACTGGCCATTTGAGTCTTCCATTTCGTTCCGGGTACGGCATGATGTCAAGCGGTACCCGGAACGAAATGGACCAATCCCGAAGAGCCGTTACGTTACGTCCGCGGAGCCGTTACGTTAAGCCCCCGCTGATTGGTCCAAATTGACCAATCCACGGACTTCCTCACACACACATCTGTGTGCAGGGAGCAGGCAGCTCAGATGATTTCTCCTCCCTGGCTGCAGGCTGATAACAGACAGTTGGGATCGCGGCAAAATTCTCTCTGCAGACCCATTCTCACTGCGTTTATCAACCTTTTTCTTACTCAATATCAAGCCACACTTATTGTTTTTACTTCAGATGTGAGTTTGTGTGTGCTCAGGATGAGTTTGGCTGTGTTTCGCTATGTATCCTAAACAAGGAAGCAACACCTCCACGGAGCTCAGTGCGATTCACAACGTCCCGACCAATCAGAGCACACTGTGCTCACAGGGAGGGTGGGGGCTGGAGCTATTGGAGCTACAACGAGCCGTTAAAGGCAGAGAGTGAAATTCAGTGAATACAAGTAGTTTACAGAGATGCTGTTTGAGAAACCAATGTGAGTTTGGAAAAATGCACAGTATAAATCTATTCTAGTAGACCTCAACAATGGAATTATGATCAGTGGAAATGGCCATGACACCTCTCCTTTAAGTAAAATATATATCTTTGTACACGGTTTAAGACACAGCTATAATATAATAATGTATTTCAAAGTCATGCTGTGACTGTAGTGGGAGTGTTACATTTCTCACATTTGACCATGTTAATGATCTGTTGTCATGTATGAATATTAGTATTTGGAGCTGCTGAAACACATTTAAACAACCCTGAACCTAGAAACTACATTTCCCATGATGCACCTGGTGTGCTGCTCATCCTCCCTGACCTCAGAATCATTATTTTGGCTGTGAGTCATTATAGTATTTCTCATTGGAAGTGTTGCCGGGTAAATCACTGTTTCAGAGGGTCACATGATCTTTAGCCAGTTTCTACGAATCTTAGTTCGTAACTCCATCCTATACAATGTTGTTTGTTTTTAATCTGCAAAGCCCACTGAGACAAACCTGTTTTGTGATATTGGGCGATACACATAAAGTTTGAAGTTGTTCACGGTTTAAGATGCAGCTGTAGTGCAATCACTTATTTCAAAGTCATGCTGTGACTGTAGAGGGAGTGTTACATCTCTCACATTTTACCATGTTAAAAGATCTGTATATATATGGAGGCGTGTGGCGCAGTGGGTTAGTGCGTTGGTGATCGGATCAGGGGATCACAGGTTCAAACCCCACTGCAGTCAGCATGTCGTTGTGTCCCTCAATTCAGTAGTCGCTTTGGATAAAAGCGTCTAACAAGTGACATGTAATGTAATATATATAGAAATATTAGTATTTGGAGCGGATGAAACACATTCAAACAAACCTGAAGAGGTTATTGGCGTCATCTCTGGCCGCATGCAGGTACTGAGCCCCAGTTTTATCATGAGTCAACTTCACTGCTGTGAGAAACAAGTCCGGGACCACCACAACCTGGGAAAACAGGATTAGAAAGTGAAATGACATTTTGTTTTAAAGCAGCAGACACTTTTACGAAGGTTCAAGGTCCCGTCTCCGACACTGAATCAAGCTTTTTACTAAGTGGTGTTACTAGAAGGTCAATCAAAATCATAATGAGACAGTGAACCACAAAACAAATTCACAGTACATCCTTCGTGTCTGATTAACTTATTATTCCCCAGATACGATACGATATACTTTATTGTCCCTGTAAGGAAATTTGTTCTGGACAGTTCCGCATACATGTACATATACAAACATAGTAAACGTTAAAATACATACACATATCATCACTCATACACCGTTTGAACAAACACAATACACAGACGCACATACTGACAATGGCGACCTATTGCACAACCCTCATGGCCAACATTTAGATGCATTTAGCCATCCACAGTGTTCATACAACTTGACTTTATAACCCCTAAATTATACAACTTTTAGTGAAGCATAAGATGAGATGATACAAGTAACTCTTAAAATAAGAAATTCATTAAATAAGCTTACTTCTCTGACTGTAAAGCCGTGGATTTTCTGTCCTGCTTGGTACTGACAGGCCCTCTCTTGTGCTTTGGTGCTCTTCAGCCTCCATGTGTGCTGCTGTCCATTGAAACTGCAAAGAAAAAAAGGTAATTGTACAATGAATAATTCACCAATCTTTGTGCAAACTTATGCAGATATCTCGATATTGTATAGCATTGAATATCGTGTGTATTGCATGACATTTCCACACAGAAGGATATGTTTCATCTTACATTGCAAACAATGCATTTCCAGATTGTGCATTGATTTCAGAGCATATGCAAACATACCTTACTTCGTTGAATATCTGGTTTATTATTAAGTGACACATTCCCACAGCAGGAGAACACTTTATAATGATGGTTAAGTTTCATTGGGAGTTTCCTAAATATTGCAAACGTCCATGTGGACCTTTAGGTTTAAAGCCCTAAAAATAAGAGATAAATAAATGGGGAATGAACAAGAACTGTGTGGATAATATTTCATCTCTAAGTGCATTCACAGAGTGTCCATTTCAGACCATATGCTAATATATAATTCATTATTAAACACTACATGTCTACATGTGATAAAAAAGGAAGGTCATATAAACAAACCGGCGTGCAACACCAATAAAGGCTCGGGTGAAACTGTTAGCAATATTTATTTCAAACTACAGTAACTAAAAACGTTTCTTCTGAAAGTTTAAAACATATTTATAAACAGTAAGGGTAGTTAGATACCCCCAAAGTGATGCGTTTGGTTGCATCAGCTGTTTCATCAGTTTAAATACTAACCCATGTCCCATTTCTACAAAGTCAGAGCCCCTTTTTATCTTAAATATCACACAATATCCAGTCACGTTGTCACAGACAGTCAGTTAATGTTGGCTTGACACTACCAAGTCAACAACATACACAATGAGCATTTCATTTATTAAAAAGAACCCATGTGTGTGTAAGCTAACTTGCTAACTTACCTCAGATATCTAAGTTTCTGGAGCACTCCCTTCGTTTGCCGAAACATGGCTTTGTCAGTGGCGAAATTATTAGTCTCCAAGTGTATTCGGCTATTAAAATAACACTTTTGTAATTAAATATTGTCAATAATTCCACATTATTTCGTTTCGCATCTCAGGTCATGCTGTGTGTTGGACAGTTAACACATTGGTTAGTTGCACACGTAAAACATGGACGCCACAGCCGCGCAGATCGTAGATCTAACAGCTAATGTATGCGCAGTTACCATGGCAGTTACACCCATCCGTATGTTATGTAACTCTACACTGAGCAATTTTCGACACTCGTAAGCGGATCATTCCACCTACAAACATGCTTGTTTCTGATTGGTCGAGACGAATGAAAAGCAGATTTGATTGGCTCAACGAAATATTACCAAACCATGACCGGTGTGTGGAGTTTTTGAAGGGCAGCAATATTTGTTTACGTATTAAACACCAGTATAAAACTTTAACTTCGTCCAACTTCAAACGTAACGTTATTAATTTAAAAAGGATCCAAGGATTTGATCTTCCGTTATTTTTCCTAAATTGTAATTATGTTTCTTATCCAGCAGATAGCGCTAAAAGATCATATTTGGCCAATAAATCACATTAGTATGTTGGTGAGTAACTTTGTTGGGGATGCTTTTTCCTATCTATTCCACACTCAGATCCCAAAATACGAGAAAAGTGGGGAATACATATGTTAAAGTGCAACTGAATCATCTTCACTGTGCATTGGTCCCTCACATTTATTTCGAACTTATATTTTCCATCACATTCAAATACATAATTATTACGAAGACTGTTCAGTGTTGCTAAGCAACTTTTCTATTTGCCATTACATTGCATCTTCTGAAGGGTAGACCTTGAAAACTGAATAAAGAATCTACTTTTCAAAGTACGTTTTTTTCTATTAGCATCATTTGTTGGTGCATTTCATAATTATTATGATTGGTTTGGTATGCTAAGAGTTTTGGCTCTTTATTATGAACAAAGTATGTGCTGTCTGTTCGCTTAGGCATCTTTCTTTAGCTGGTATCATCTTTGTGACATACAGTATGTAACATCAATTCAATTAGGTGCTTGTTTTCTGTGTATAAACGTTATCCTTTTGTAAGGTGGCTCGTCTTTTGCATTCTGCATTTCCAGACCAGTATTGTCATGTGAGAGTGAGTCTTCTCCATCACATCCCAGTGTCAGTCTGGTGTCTGTGAAGCAAGGAGCAGGTGGGAGGTGAACCCACCGGAGAAGAGGGGATGCACAATGTGTCAGCCTTTCATTCTTTCAGTTTGAGTTACTATAGCAAGCATATCACTCAATAAATCCACAACAACAATAACATATGTTTAAAAGGTTATGTGTGTTTATTTATACAGCTGTCCATACTAGTTGTATATTCTATGGTGTACTCATCTTGATTCGTACTATACGTTTGTTTATTGTATTTGTATTGTTTTATTATTAAAGTGTCTACAGTGTCTTTAATATACTGCCTATATTTCCACTATCTATACACTGCACTGAAACACTTTTCTTGCACTTCTGGTTGAATGCTAAATGCACGTAACTCTTCCAGTATACTGCATAAAGGTGAAAATAATCTGATATAATCTAAATCTAATGTATGTATGATGGAGTCTCTGCCATAGAGCTTTGCACCGATGAGTTAGATAGATAGATGGATAGATAGATGGATAGATAGATAGATAGATGGATAGATAGATAGATAGATAGATAGATAGATAGATAGATAGATAGATAGATAGATAGATAGATAGATAGATAGATAGATAGATAGATAGATAGATAGATAGATAGATGGATAGATAGATGGATAGATAGATAGATAGATAGATAGATAGATAGATAGATAGAAAGGGATGTGTTTTTGTTACAGGACCAGTGTGTTCAACATTAAAATACAAATACTTAAAAAGTAGAATAGACTTCCTCCTCCTCCTTCTTCCCTGCAGAAACCACTCGTCTTGCAGACTGCCTTTTCTGTTCAGTTATTTATTTGATTGTCTATTTCAAAATATCTTTTGAGGCACCCACGGTCATCCCTTATGTTTCCCCTGACAGCATGTGGGAGATTTTCCATCAGCATGAATAGGAAACCTTGGTGAGGAGGAATTAGGGCTTTTTTCAGAGCCAGCGTCCTCCAACAAGTCTGCATGTTCATTATCAGCAGAGACCTTGAAGACACAAAGCAGAGAGACAGGCTGTGAAATATTCACCTTTAAATCCTGATTACATGCAGAGCAAAACGTGGCGATGATGTGATAATATTTCAGTGGAATTTAAGTTGTTCAAGGATTATTTTTGAGGCAAAATGGAATAAAGTGATTACATAATTATTGAATGACTTATTTTTTATATTATTGTATTCAAATCATTATCAGAAATACTTTTAAAATTCCAGGGGGAAATAGTTGTGTGTGACAGTTGATCCATTTAACAATGAATACAATTGAATAAAAGAAAATAAGAAAACACTATACAATTACAATTAAATACAACAATAAAATAGTATGTGAACATATATTCATTTCACATCAAATGAATACTCATCTTAATTGCAAAACTGTTTTGTCACAGCTGAAGAGAGTAAAGAGGTTTTACTCAAGTTAAAATAAATAATCAAATTGAATAATATACAAATCAAATGAAAGAGAAACAGTTAGGTGCAAACCACATATCTTTAATCTACAGGAGGTGAAAGAGCACATCGGCAGTGTGCATCTCGCCTCGTTAAATTAATGAAGATGCAGCAGGACGTAATGCAAGGATTAAAGGATCAATCAAAAGTTTTTACGAGAGTTCAAAGAGTTTTATTTCGACACGTTCTGTAAAGCATACACTTCCTGCTGTTTTACAGTAACGTAAAAATGTTCTTGTTTTATGGATACAACCATTTTTTTTTTACTGTTATTGTCATGGGATTATACTGCCATGTGAAAAATTAGCAAAACAACTTGAAAAAGTCATTTCATGGTGACTTTAAGGGCAACTGAAGGATCACATAAGCCTCTATGGAGGTTGCTCCTAAAGCCCTTATTTGAATAAAGCAATAAATTCATATAGCGGTCAAGCTGTAAACAAGGCTGTGTAACATGACACACAAACAGCACGTCCTCAACTGTGTAATGCAAAAATAATGTCCGAAACACACTTTAATACGAGGGGAAATGAGTTACTCTACGTGTTGTCAGGGATGTGAGTTACTTGGTGTTGATGTGCTCCTTCCTCCGGGTAATCCTCAGGTCTGTACTGTCCAGACGCTGCTTCATCCAGGCTTAAGCTATCCATCAGTGTCAGATGGAAAACAAAACCCTGGCTTCTCACTTCTGTCTCTCACAGCTCTGTTATCCAGCGCTGGCAGCACATTCACCTGTTATGGATGTCTGGGTTTAAGGCATGGCTGTACATAGAGTGCTGTCCAATATATGATATACTCGATGATATACTCACCTGCAGCTAGACAGTAGTGCCTTGCAAGTGAGTTAACACCATTTTTAGGGGGACTTTAATTGTCTAAAAGCTGAATCTGCATCATTGCATCTCTTAGATTACATGCATGTGTATTTATTTGGTCACGTCTGCTACTCATGGATGTTTATATGCAGAATTTTGCACTAGATGTCACCTGATTTTTCACAAAGTAGAAACCAGCGCACACTCAGGATTACGTTTCTACAACTTTTTTTTCACCCCTGGACAAATTTATACCAAATCTCAGTTCCAGTGACTTTAATTAACCCTTAAATTATTTCTGTATCCAGTCATTTGACAGGCGTGGGTAGTGTTATACAGGTCTTATAATGGTAGAACATGGGTGTAATAGGGGTGTATGTATGAAGTGGGTTTGTTCGGGTGTATTAACAGTCTGCTCCATTTCTCTTGGAATAAAACCACGTTGTACATTTTACTCTATAATCTGTTCAATATTTATACTCCATATTCCATATATTTTGAATATATATATATATATTTGTATATATATATATAATATCTGCATGTATATTTTCTATTTCGACATGTATATTTTATATTTTATATTTTATTTTATTTTTCTTTCTATTCTTGTATATTTTGTAGTTTTGTTTTATTGTAACATGCCTTTTATGCTGCTGTAACAACAACAATTTCCCAATTTGGGATCAATAAAGTACTATCTATCTATCTATCTATCTAATACAGGTGTAAAATGTGTGTAATAGGGTGTAATATGGGTCAAATAATGGTGTAAAATGGGGGGTGTATGTATGAAGTGGGTGTGTCCGGGTGTATTAACGGTGTAATATAGGTGTAATACAGGTGTAATGCAGGTGTAAAATGTGTGTAATAGGGATTGTATTAATGTGTAATGTGGGTGTAGATAATAGCATTACATTAGGTTTCCAAAATATGTATATGTGATTACCAGTTTAAGTTAAACACCATTAGGGTGTGGATGAAAGGCCAAAACACATAGAAAAAGCTACTTTTGCCAACTACTCCTGTACTAGGCTTACAACTACATCCAGATCCACAGAGCCACTTGTAAAGCTAAGCCTGATGGGAAATGTAGTTATTTGTACAGGTATGTTGTCTGAAATAAAGATATCGACAAAATTAACCGACCTATAGACAAATTGCCCAAAGTGAAGCAAGTTAAGCGTGGGTAAAACACAGGATAACAGCTCGCTGATAAAGTAAATCTCAGTGTGTTATTGTGGAAATAATTCAACAATCATTACATTTCTATCTTTGTTCTTTATCTAACCCTGACATTATGAGTTCTGCAGTAAACAAATGTGATGCAACCACCATCTTGCACGGTGGCATTTTGTCTTGCTCTGGTCAGCCCGGTGCTAAGGTTTATCACATCACACCGTCCCCGTGTCTTTATCAGTCCCCAGACACAAAGGGCAAATAAAGGTTGGGCGTTTGATAAAATGAATTATCATGGGTAGTAATCTCGGGGGAAAGCAGAGCATTCTCCATCAATTCAGCAAAAATAACACAAAACCTTTGCATATGAAATCTTGTATTTCACTGAAGGGACACACACACTGTAATTTTGAGATGTTAAAGAATATCTAGCAACAATTGTGTCTCCCTGAAATTGGATTGATTCGGGAAATGTGGTTTTAGAATGTGAGAAAATGTATTCAAGTATGAAGCAGTTGAAGCAGTTGTCGTAGCTGCTTTTGTAAAAATAAATATTACATTGAGGCAG